GCTGCTGCTGCTGGCTGCGTTGCTCACGGCGCCCCACTTGGGACCCATGCTGCGGGGCGGCCCTGCGCTGCCGCACGTGGGAATCCGGCGGCTGCTCCTTGATGGCTTTCAGAGTTGTAATGGGCGGGATGCCTTGACGGGGGCTCTCTTTTTGTTTGCCTGGACCGGCTGGATGTGGTATTCCCTCACTTGTTCGGCTTGGTTCGTGCGATATGGTATGCATCCTTAGGATCGCCTCGTGGCTTCTGGACTTTGGCCTCGGCGTCGGTTCTGCCATTGTTGACCCTGGGGCCGCAGGTATGGGGTGTGGGGCACAGACACGTCAAGCGATGGCGTGCGTATCTTTGGGGGGATACCAAGGACCAGGAAAAGGTTTGGAAGCCAAAGCTGGAGAAGGCCGAACTGCAAAGCCGAAAGGGCCGCCGTGTTTGTTTTCTGTGCTTACCTGCTGCAGGCTTTGGACGCAGATTCAGATCTGACGAAAGGCATCAACAAGCCTCTTGGCTACAGTATCATCCTTGTCTTCCGACGTTTTCTTTGCCCACCTACGTGTTGCCGCGGATGTTGTGCAGCTCGTGTGGCCCAGGTATGCCTTGCACATCGCGGGGAATTTAGGCCAAGCCGTGCTGGCAGAGAAATCCAAGTGGATCCCTCCTGTGCACTTCGGATGCAAAGGGGAAAAAAGAAACAAACCATATCTTTTGCCGTTTGTTTCCCGTGGGTGCTGTTTGTGAGGATCAGCACGGTCTCGGAGGTGGTGCCGCCGGCACTGTCTGCGGTCATGGAGAGAAAGGACGGGTGGTTCAGCAGCGCAAGGGACGTGTGTTTCGAATCTCGCATGTGAGGCAGAGTGGACGCCTGCCCTCGAAGCGCTGGTGGGGGAAATTGTGCCCACTGCTGTGGGCTCAGGGGGGCTTGGGAAGCGTGCCGGGACAAGTTCAGATTTTTGGTGCAAAATTTGCAAGGAGTTGCATGCAGTGTCTCAGGTCATGAGTGGAGTAATGAAGAACCACCATGGCTGGTCACCCGCGCTGATGCAGCTTGTGGGTGACGTGGTGCCCCCTGTGCTCAGCCACGTGCTGCGGAACAGGCGCGTCCGCGTTTGTGTCTGGCCGGCAGGTTTTTGTGTTTTTTTCCACGCGTGGCGTGAGGCAGTGGACGCCTGCGCTGCTGGAGTTTGTGGGTGAGGTGGTTCCTGCCATTGTGGCAATCGTGCTGCAGAGGCCTAGGGTGGGCGTGACATGCGGAGCAGTCGGCGTTGGGAACGTAGTTGCCATTCTAGCCGACGTGGGAATGGACAATTCCAGGCCAGAGCTGCCCCCAGCCATCAGCGAATTCGTCAACAACGCAGGGCCGACTCTGGCACCGGCTGTCGTGAGGCATGGATTAGACTGTCGGCACCCGCGGTCGGTTTCCCCTGCTGATGTCGGTAGCTAAGTGAGTTGCTTGGTTGCTTTGTTGCTTGGCCAGCAGGTTTGACGGACAGTCGGATAGTTGGCTGGTGAACCCCCTGCTCAGGCCCCAACTTGTGGAGCGGTTCACCTCCTGTAGCATCAGTTTGCCAACGCTCGTTTCGCTGGCTTAGAACCCAAGGTGCGTGCTTGCCAGGTTGATCGATCTCATCATGTGTGACCCGACCCTGATGGTGACCATCAGGAGAATGACAGACACCAGTCCCTTGGCCTGGGAATTGATTCAATGGCCTCTTTTTTTGCGGGCGCCAAGCACTAGACGTGCGGACTTGTCACCTGCAATCATGCAATCCACCTTTGTATCGTTGCTCGGCTGTTGGAACCAAGATTCGGTCCAGGGTAAGAGACAACCTCAACACCAATCTAGCCAGACGCGGTGTTGCACTTTGTTCCTGTGGACAGCTGTTTTCGGTCCCGTTTCGAAAGGGATGTGATTTGATTGGGCTGTGCGAATTTCAAGGCATGCGGGATGAGCACATGATAGCAGGCATCAAGGAGGTGCTTTGGCAGAAAGCAGGGGTGTGCTTGCTTTCAGCCCGCTTGAATTTTGCGCTGTGGTCGTCAAAGGCATAAAGAAACGGCACTGTTTTTTTGTGACGTCATTTGCAGGGTTTGTTTGCCAAGGTCATTGAAGACTCCCTGAAGGCGCGCAAGAAAGGGAGGGCTAGAGTCTTGTGGCCAATTGCATTATTTTCCCGTTTCATATGCATTTGCTTTGCAAGGACGGTGGTATGTACCGCGCTGTCGGCAGAGGAGTTCTTGCTGCTGCTGGGCAGAGCGTGGAAGACATGAAGACCCGTGCCAAGGGTCACTTTAGAAGCAACTGACATTTCTAGGGTCAACGCTAGCGCGGCTACGAACGCGTCGTATGCCCTTTTGATGTGTCAGCGGCCCTGCAACTTCGAGCTCGCAGTGCTGCGTGCCAAATGATGTAAGAGTTCATGTGGGTTGTGCAGTTTAAACGCGAGAATCCATTGCAACTGCCGCAAGTATTGGCTGCAACGATTTGTCGGACTGGTTGATCGCTTGTTTCATGAGCGGCCTGTAAGCAGAACACGCCCTTGGCCAAAACAGCTAAGCTGTGTGGGACTACTCTTCTTAGAGCGCTGGCAGCGCCAGCGGACTTTTTAATGTTTGTTCGTCGCCTGCGTTGAGTTTGAAGCGGGCATTGACAAAGCATCTGCGCGCAACTGCGCGCGATCACGTTCTACGCGTGACGCCAGCTCAAGTGGGGGACATCACCCAGGCCAGTGGGCATGCCTAATTTGTGTCTGAGACACGGAGCGCGGCGACCTGAATTGATTAAACATTGGTGGGTCATGGGTCCGTGGGCGCTGCGCCGGGGTTGCGATCATGTGCAGTGTGCGGTGCGTGTGGCTTTGCCTCAAAGGAAGCAGGTTCCTTAGATGCCAAGCATTGTCCGCTCCTTGCAGCATGGAGCGAGATCCGCTGAATGAGCCAGGTGCGAGCCATGGAGTCAACTTGTGCAGCTGGGGGCATGAAGCCATACATTCCCTGCGCCGAGCTAAATATATGGCACGAACATACAAGTCTACATTTATAAGTTTATAAGTTTTAAAGTAAATAACATATAAAGGGGGCGCACTTCCTGGGGTCACGTGGTGCCCTTGAGATTGACAAAGTTGGCAGAGTTGATGACATTTCCATGCTGGCAAGGAAAGAGAGAGCGAGAGCGAGAGAGAAAGAGACGGAGAGAGAGAGAGAGAGAGAGAGAGAAAAAAAGAAAAAGAGAAAGAGAAAGATAAAGAGACAGGGAAAGAGAAAGAAAAAGAGAAAGAGCAAGATAAAGAGACAGAGCAAGATAAAGAGACAGGGAAAGAGAAAGATAAAGAGAAAGAGAAAGAGAAAGAGAGAGGGAGATAAAGCGCGAAAGAAAGGGAGAGAACCGCAGCACTCAAAAAGCGCCTGCGCCAAAAATCCTCGCTTTGCTTTGTAGGTGGCGACCCTTGGCTCAACTCGTCGAACTCATCCCAGTGCCTTGGCAGAAGTCTTCACGGACCTGCGAGGTCCCTCGAGTCCGAGAGGCATGGGACAGCGGGAAGAGGCCGTCAGTCGAAAGGCAAGGGGAGGTCTGGCCTCCGGCCCGACGTTGCGCGGCTGGAGAGGTTTCTGCAGGCAGGGGACGGCATATTTGTGTCTTGCCGCCTTTGAACCGATCGGAACACATGTAACATTGCAAGGGGAGGCAGACAGTCAGTCAGCAGTCAGTGCCAGGAAGAGATGAGGCGGATTCTGGATCAAGATGGCTGTCCCACTGCCCAAGAGTTGGTGGCACGATGCGTTCTGGAGTTTCCGGAAGCGCTGAATCTGGGGCTGGAAAGTCTCGCAGATCATTTGGTGTCCTTGCGCACGCTTGTGCGGAAGGAGCAGGCGACGGCGACCAAAACGACAATTTCCCAGTTGTTCCATTGTGTGGCTTGGAAGGATGCATGAAGGTTGGAGGGTCTGCACATGCTGAAACCATGGAGGCACTGAGGCAGTTCCTCCTTTCCGTGCGCTCACTTTGCTCTGTTTGGTCGGTGAGGGATGCCGAACGGGCCTTCCTTGCATCGTCTTTCATGAAGAAGTCTTTCGATGTAGCAGAATGGAAGAGCTTGCTGCTTGGACCTTCCCTGTCCAAGCATCCAGCCTGGAGCGAAGTGTTTCGCGAGTTTGAAATGCCACAGCACAAGTGGATGCAGTATGACGTGCCTCCAGACGAATTGTCGGATGCTGTGACGGCGATGGAACTGCTTTTCGAACACCGAGTGGAAAGTTCCGGGATGGATGGCGCAATTGACTTCACGAAGGAGATCAAGTTCGAGGAATTCGAACGTTGGCTTCTCGCACGCGGCATGATCTTGGAAGACTGCGGGGTTTGCCCCTTGGCGCTTCTCAGAGCACGTTTTACTACGTTTCTCCGCCCATGCGCCGTTATTTTTAGCCTGTTCCCTTCAGAGGCATCAACAAGCACAAGTTCGGTCTGATCATGGGCAGCATGAACGGGGCCCTGGCGCATGAGCATCGTCTTCAAAAGGAAGCAGAAGAGCGTTATTTGGACAAGCTCTTGCAGCATGCTGAGGAGGAGGTCCACAAAGAGACTGCCAGGCTCATGCTGGGTTACCGTATTGTGTGCACACACCGTGTTTGTTGAACATCAGTCTCAACGCGCAATATGTTAGGCTGGCAGAGGTTGATGACGAGGCAGCAGCATTCCGCTTGCGCTGGCATCGGGTAGCAAGGAGTGAGAGAGTTTGAGACGTGTTGCCTGTGTGGCTGACTTGGTGGCTGTCGGACAAACTCAGCCCACCAAGCCTGGCTTGGGTGACTGTGAGGACCAGATCAAGATCACAACTGGCTGGCGACCTTTGCCTGTGGGCAAAGCACAAGCTCGGCTGTGATGTACACCCGCTCAGGCTGGGCTGGGGTTTTGAATGTCTCTGGTCGAGAGTCTAGAGGTCCGGACGCTGCTCACGAGCATCCTGCTTACAGTTTTCCAGCCTTGTCCAAGCGCAATAGATAAGGAGAGCCTCACCCAATAAATGCCTTAAGCGCCTTAAGGCTTGGATTTGAGCGTGTCAGGCCGTGGCATTGGTGGCTAGATATTTTTTAGAGAGGGCTGCCACCCCTCACAGCCCGCCTGCAAGGCCAATGGCTGCTGCCTTAGCCATGGAGCTGAGGGCTGAGGTGTGGGCAGAATGGATAGCAGTTGGTCGTTTCCATTGACCGCTGGCAGTCCTTTCCATTTAGCAGGGCAGCCTATTTTGGATTCCTTTTTTGCGCCACCGCCACTTTTATTGCCTTGTGATACTCCCATCAGGCCACGGAGGAAGAGACGGAGGCGGCGTGCGTCTCCCCCATGGAGCTGGAGGAGACGGTGCGGCGGCAGCTGGCCGCGACGGAGCCGGGGCTGGCGGGGCTCCTGAAGTTGGAGCGCGGGGTGCTGGGGGCCGCGTCCATGGAGCAGCTGCTGCCCGGCGAGGGCTCCTTCCTGAACTTTTTGGTGCAGAAGCAGGAGCTCCGCGTGCTGGTGGAGGAGGTCCTGGCGCCCCAGCACCCCAATCAAGCGCAAGCGCGCGCCAAGGAAGGAGGAGACGCCGAGGGTTTGGGCGCGGCCGCGGAGTCCTCGGAGCTGCGGGACTCGCGGGACCTGGACGCGGCGCTGCGTGAGCTGAAGCCCGGCTGCGCCGTGGTGGACGTGGAGCTGGCGGCCAAAGCCCAGCAGCGGCTCCGGCGCCAGGGCCTCGAGGCCTCGGTGCTGGAGCTGCTGGGCACGGCGCCCGAGCGCTCGGCCTTCGGCAGCGGCTGGGCCACCCGCATCAAGGCGGGAGGCAAACGGAACTGAGTGGCTTGTGAGGAGTTTTCAGTCTTTTGAGCCGGGTGCCTGAACGCCTTTGGCCGTAACCTGCTTTTTGAAGCAGCTGGCCTTTTTGTTAACTTGGCTTGCGTCCAAACCGATCCTGAGGATGTGAAGGCGTTTCACTTGCTGCAGACCCATGTCAACCTGGTCCTTCGCACTGCAGGCCCTGCTGCTCTCAATTACCACTTTGGGGAACGTAGTGCCCTCGCACTTGGAGCTTGCCCGCAAGACGACAAGACCCTGGTGCCTCAACTGTCGCACCTCTTGAACTCCGGTTTGCACGTGGAGGCGCACGCTTTGTCGCAACTTTTGGCAGCACGGAGGAGCGTCGACCTTCCAGCTGAGCGCAAAAATGACACAGAAGCAGAGGCTGCTGCCAAAGCTGCTCAAACGTTGCTCGAGGGCCAGAAGCCGACCGTCTCTCAAAGCATGTTCCATCGGCTTCATGAGCCACCCTTGGCCGGTGCAGGTCTAAGTTGCAGCGCCACTTACCTCAGGAACCTCGTTTGGGATTTGCATTAAACATAGCCCTTTATATAGGCATCAGCCAAGAACTGGTTAGGTATCAACGAAGACTATGGGACAGTTTTTACTCATGTGCGGCACAGGAAATGAGGACTAAAGGGGAAGGGGCAGGAGCTTGATGCAGCACGACGGAATTTCTTTTTGAACAGGAACCGCCAAGCATGCGTGGATTGTGGATGCACTTGAGTCATTCAGGTCACGTGACAGCCGAGAAGGCCTTGGACGCCTTGGCAGGCTTGGCTTTCCTCGAGGATGCGGAATCGAGTCTTTGCTGGCAGGCGCCAGGGTTCCACTGCTGGGACAACTAAGTGCCACATTGACTACATTGCGAGCCTTTTGTCATGCGTGGCCGTTGGCTGAATTCTCACCTCAAGCGCGTTGCATATTTTTGAGTTTGACTGAGAAGGTGGTATGCCTCAAACAAGCAAATGTGTCGCTATTACACCTATTTGACAAAAGACAAAGCCGTGTGGCCGCGTGGTCAATTTTTGATATGTTTTCTTCGTTTTCGCACTGTTTATGAGGACGTGCTGAAGTCCTTTCGTGTTGCATTCTTGGGTTGAGGTCGATTGGACGTCCAAATTCTACAAATGCAATGTTGCGCATTGGCTAGCGCCACCCGCCACTCACAGGGTTTGGAAGATGACACGCCGCTTTACTTTGTTTCCTTCTTGCTGGGCTCGATGTTCAGTAGAAGCAAGCCAGTGCCCACATGATTTTGGGTCCTGTGGGCGTGGGCATGGCGACGCCTTGTAGAACGAAATGCCTGGGGTAGGCCGACGCGGCCCGGCCAGGAGCTGTTCGCCCCCAGCTTGGGCTCCTTGCCGGAATTCTTGTGCCAGCAAGCGGAGGAGGGTCAGTTGCTGAAGCGCGACCTGAAGATGCTTGGCCAAATGGGTTGGACTATAATCTGCTTTGTGTATTTCAGCCGAAACCTAGGCTGAGTGTGTGGGATCTGGAGACGAAGTCTGACTTTCACATCTTGGGCACATTTTTCTGCTTTCCCTCTCTCTCAGTTCATCTTCTTTCTCTCTTTCTCCTTCTCTGCACGGAAGCCTTCCCAGAAAAAGCCTTGGCTTCACTTCCCTCTCAGCGTTCCGGTCTCCGTCCCTTTCCGTCCGGCTGGAGGTTCCTGGTGCTGGCGCCCACGGCCCTGGGCTGCGCCGGGCTGCTGCCCCGCGTGGCGCGGCTGCCGCCGGCCTCCGCGGAGGCCTTCGCCGCCGCGGTGGCCGCGGGCGCCGCGCGCCGGGCGGCGGCGCAGCTGGCGGCGCTCTGCGTGGAAGAGCCCGGGGAGGTCCAGGCGCAGTGACGCGAACGCGCAAAACGGCTTCGGCTGGGTTGGGCCACGTTTTTTTTTTTTTAGGACTATCTTTGCAAAAGGGGATTTAATCAGGCGGAGGGAGAGAGCCATGGGACGGATTTGTCTGGAGAGAGCCTGTCACATGCGGTTGGCGGACTTTGGTGAACGAGCCACATTTCGGCTCACTTGGAGAAGAGTTTTTTGCGGAGAGAGAAGATATCAATCAAAGACGATTCGAGCCAGACGAATGATGCGGCTGTGGGTCAAACATAGGGCAACCAAAAAATGGACCCTGGCAAAGGGAACCATGGACCTGGTGGTTTAGTTGTGAGAGAGAATGTTTTCTGTAGGTGTTCGGTCCCATGCAGTTTTCATTTTGGAGGAAAACTGGCCCGCACCGCAGTTCGCCCATTCCGTCAGGCACTTGTGTACTATTTCAAGCTGGGCCTGAAAGACTTGAAATCCCGCCTCTCGGCCACAACCAGCAGAAATCCTTTCTGCGAGGCGCAGTTTGGCACGGGAAGCGAAGAGCCATGAGCCACGGGCGAGCCAAGGCTCAGAGCAGCCCAGCGCAGCGGTCTGCAGCGCACTCGCCGTGTCGCTGCTGAAGGCTCTGCCAGCGGGGCTGCGTGCCATGCTGGGGGCCTTGGTGGTGCTGCCGTGCCTCAAGGCTGTCCATTGGGTATGGGTCAAAATGAAACCACCAGGATATGGACCGCAGGTTTTAGTTTCCATGTTTCCATTTGCCGGGGCAAGCCATTTTGGGGTTACCTATTTTTGACGACCGCAGCCACATGGGCGCAATATTTTTCCGTGGGCACTTTGATGCATTTGATTTTTTGGCCGTCCTGCACCTGTGGCAGGAAGAGCTGGGCTGGGCAGAGGCCTGCTGCACTGCAGCCCTGCGCCTGGGCTGTCGGCCCATGCTGGCAGCTCTCGCGCTGCACTGGGACGTGCCGCTGTGGGGCCTGGAGCCGCTGCCGCCGCCGGCCGCGGACTCGGAGGACTTTTTCCGGGCGCTGGGAGTTGACTCCAGGCGCTCCGCAGATGCCAACGAGGCGCAGGGAGCGGACGGCGCCGTCACGAGGAACTTGGGGGCGGAGTCTGGGGAGGCCGCCGGCGCCCTGCCAGCGACGCCTGGGACAGGTGAGACACAAGAAGTGGAGCCGTTGGTATGCCCAACGGCGTTGGGGGATGACGAGACGCTTTCTTGGCCAGATGTGAGTCTTTTTCTTCTTCCATTGTTTGGACTTTTTTGAAGTGTGCACTGTTTGATTTGGGCTGGTCCCATCTCAAAAACCAGCTGCGTTCACCAAAGCGTTGATTTCAGAAAGGAAATGCGAATTTCTGCAAAGTATCCGGGCGGGCTTTTGTCTGGATCAGCAAGACGCTGCCCAGCTACAGCGGAACTTGGGAGGGGCTTTGAAGCGGCTGGGGGATGATTTGTACAGGGAGCAGCACCACTTTGTCTTTGAGCTGCTTCAGAATGGCGATGACAATGAGTATGCCGAAGGAGTGGTGCCTTGTTACCAGCTGATTCTTTGCATCTTGGCAGGACAGGCATGATTCCACATGTGCCCCTCCACCATGGTGTGTGGTTTACGCGCGTCGATTGGTGGCGCAACGTCTTGACAAGGTGAAGATATGTTGGTGGCGCTCTCCAATGAAGTTGGCTTCAGTCAGGACGGACCTGTCCAACTGGAAGACCTTGCTTGAATCATGGTCTTACAGCATTTAAGGTGTGCCGTATTCCCAGCCTGGCTAAGGATTAACCATGACCAAATGCATAATGCCTTCTGCTTGCTAGATTGCACTAGAGAGCAGAGCGCAGGCCAACGTGGACTCACTCTGCAGTGTGGACAGCTCAACAAAGCCTCGTTTGGACGACGGCGAGGAACGCATTGGTGGCTTGGTGGCAAAGTGTTACAGGTTGCTTCGTTGATGCGTTCAAGGGTCAACGCTCCAGATTCACAGCGAGTGGCCAGGCCCAATTAGGCCCAATCCCAGCGATGCATAGGCACCTGGTTTTATGGCCCCCTCAACTGCCGGCGTGTGCGCCCCTAGCCAGAGGCGGCTTGAACGGTTTGTATGGATCCACGTAGGCAGTTTGAGCATGCTGCCGGATGTGCTGGCCAGTCCAGGCAAGAAGGGCATTGGCTTCAAATCAGTTTTCAAGATCACCGACACACCCACTATCCACAGCAATGGCTGGCATTTCCGCTTCAATGCAAAGCTGAAGCTGGAAAACGTCAACATCAAAGAATTGGGCTACATCGTCCCGGAAGCCATGCCTGCGGGCGACATGATGTTCCCATCTTGGAGAACAGAGATCCGGCTGCCCTTCAAGCCAGGGCTGGGCAACGAGGAGCGCAACATTCTGCAGCAGGACTTTCGGGCCTTGGATGGCACCCTCCTGCTGAACTTGAACAAGCTGAAGCGTCTGATCCTCGAGTGCAGCTCGGACGCGATGGATTCAGGCTCGGGCGACTACCGGAGCCTGAAGAGCGAGGACCTCTGTGACCCACAGCCAGTCAGCAGCGCAGAGGGAGAGGTGAAGTGGAACTTGGTTCGCATCAGCGACGGGCTGGTGCGTGACTGGTTGCCCGGATCGATGTGTTTTACCACTGCAACGCAACAGATTTCCAGAGAGAGCGAGAGAGAGAAAGCTGAAACTTGTTTCCAATGTCTTCCTTGGTGAGCTAACAAAGCAGGCATGCGCCGAGGCTTTGCGTGGAGGGGGCTTTCCCATTCCGAGCCACGGAAAGAGGAAGACTGGTGAGGATGAAGGTTTCTTTTCCGCTGCCGCAAGGCGGCGCCGACAAGTGGCTTCAGGAGCCCAAAATTTGACACACCTTTCGGGCGACGCATACCCACGTCCTCAAAACCCGGGTAGATGAAGGTCAGTAAGGGATGCCCCCAGCCATAAATAGGTGCAGCCGCCTTTATTAATTAATTCTTGCCATGGTTCTGGGTAGGCCATTTGAACACAGACCGGTTTTGATTTTGGCTCACATGTTTTTCAATATTTCAAGCGCTTGGCAGTGGAATCCCCCCCCACTCTTTTTTTCTCGGCCTCAGCTTGAAGCAAGCTTTCGAAGCTTCGAAGCTTTTCCAGGAGGAGCTGCCGACGCAGCAGACCTTCTGCTACCTTCCTTTGCGCTCCTTCGGCTGGAAGTTTGTACTGCATGCCAACTTTGACGTCACAGCCTCACGGAAGCTTGCCTGAGCACTGGGGTGAGAGAGCTTTGATGCCTTGTGGCATAGCTCATGGGGCAGGAGGTTCATGAAGCAGTCAACAGCTCACGCCAGGAATGAGCTGCATAGCAGCAGCCCCTGGAATTTGCGCATCAAGGAACTGCTGCCCAAGCTGCTGGCCGTGAGTGGCCGGATCCTGCAGGACACCCCCGCCGCGAGTTGCTTGTAAAGTTTTTCATGCGCAGCGCATTGACGTGGCGAGGAGCACCTCATGCCTTGCTCCCAGCCGGAGAATGAGCCGGAGGCAAGGGAGCACGCAGCTTTTTACGCCCACGTGCCCTACAGCTACTTCCTTCGCTTTATGCCGCTGCTATTTGGCAGAAAATTAGCTTTTGAGACCTTTCCCCGCAACCATTGGCAGCCATGAGCCAAGCGGACAAAGGCATCTGACGGAATCGGCTGTGCGTTTCTCTGAGGCCGGGCGAGTTGGGTGGCAGCGGCCTCAACAGCGACTTCTTTGCGGGCAGCGAGGGCCACATTTGGCAGCGCCTCCGCCGGGAGAGGTGCGTCCTGCCACTGGGCGCAAGTGGCGCCCGCAGTCAGCCACGGTCATTGGGCATTGCGTTAAGCTGAGGTCAGATGAGGGCGTTTGGATGGAGCCCCACCGTGTGTTCCAGGCGCCTGACAACATGAAGCAGGTCATCTCCTCTGGGCAACTCCAGCAATTCCATGATGGCTTGTGCGCCTTGGCCCAGAGGTCTGTGCCGCGAGGGCCTTTGTGAAAATCAGATGGGGGCCGCGCACTTGCCGAGAGGGCTGGGGAAAATCGGCGCAAATGTCCGGAGCTTGGCCAGGAATGAAAAGTACGGCTGAATAGCTGGTGGTTAACTCCGAAGCCGGATTTCCGAGGCTACCTGCACTCCCAATTTGTGGGCCTGTCGCACGAGACTATGCACCACTTGGGAGTCAGGATGCGCATGCGGCCAAAATTCTGAAGTGCAAATTGTTGGTTCCCGCTCTTTGGGCCGTTGGTTTCCAGCTGGCAATGACAGGGACTGTCCGCAGGACCTTAGAAGCAGCCTTCGATGTTCTCTTGACGGTGCTGGGCCGCATGGCTGCAGAGAAGAAGTTGGGAGCCTCCTTCGTGCGGCGTGCTTTGGCGCTGGCCTATTCTTTGATTTGGGCATCCTGGCAGGAGCGAGCCGCGCCCTGCGATGTGTCGTTTTGTTGCGTCGACCACTCTTGGCAAACAAAAAGAGGGTCAGCCGCGGAGAGCGGAAGGACAGTCAGCAGATTCTGTTGCATTCGAGCGAGCAGGCTGCTTGACACTGGCTCAGAAGCTAAGCTGCGTCAGCCAGGGGATGCCTGGCGTGCATGTGGGCGGCGTAGAGTTAGCAGTCTTGCGCAGTTGCGGTTGCGGGATACTTTGGGCTCCATGAGTGCAATTGTTCAGCTCCCCACATCCACACAACGCCTAACGACGCAAGCCCTCTGCACACATGCTCACATTCAGCCGCACTGAGCGTCCCAGACAATATTATTAGAACTCATGCCACCTGCGAGCACACCCTGCACGCCGCAGACAGAAACTCACACACCCCTAAGCGTGCCCACCAACTATAAAACCGCGCACGCAAACACATCATTTAAATGATGCGAACGGCCTCCAACGGCAAAGTGATCACATACTTGCACACACACACACACACCCATTTGCACACAACACGCGACGCAAAGCACGCGTCAAACATGTCATGTATCATGCCAACAATTGACAATCCGACATGGTGAGAAAAGACACGTTTGGCAAAGAAGCACTAGCTCGCTGAAAACAGGCGTGCTGCTTTCTATCATCAGGCGTTGCGTTGCATTGCCGTGGTACGCCGACAGCAGCGGCTAAGCCGGAACGTAACTACGGTGTCATGATTCAAGGGTATCAGTAAAGGCTTGGTGACTCGTACAGTCATGCGGTCTTTGGTGTCCGATTTTTCAGACACACTTGGTTTTCCTCACAAAAGGCACGACCCAAGAAGTCAGCAGCGGTGAATGACTGGAAACTGCCCATAACCTGAACTGCCCTGGCAGGAAGCCTTGCCGAACGACCCCGGGGACCGCTTGAGGAAGTTGGGCGCGCTGCAGATTTTGCCCGTGCAGGGCGACGCGGAAGTTCTCCATGGTGCTTCCGCGGTCGGGTTGTCCCTGGGCTTTTGTAGTTGAAGCTCAGTGCGAGGTGCTTGGGGTCTGTGACTCGCTTGGATTTTCCGGCTCAGGTTCCTGCCGGAAACAAGTGGATGCTTTCCAGAGTCCCTGATGAGCGCTTTAGAAATTCAAATCCTGCTGCCGGAGCTCTTTGAAGGTGAGGAGGGCCGCTTGGCCCGGCGGATCTTGGAGCATGCTGGAGTTCGCAGCTTGACCCCCAGCGCAATCATTTGGGATGGCGTGATCCCATTGCTGGCGAAAACCCGCTGCCCCAAGACGGTGGCATTGTGCTTGGCGTTTTTGGCTTCGCGGCCGTTCTCTGACTTTGAGGATGGGAGGAAGAAGACGAGTGTCGAATCTGCACTCCAGACTGCTCTGAAGGTTCCAGTGAGACATGGTTCTGGTGAAGTCACTCTCTCGGGCCTGCCAGAGCCCATGCTTCTGGGAGAAGAGTTTCACAACATTCTGGCCCAGGAAGCCATCGACGCCGAGGTTTCGCATGCGCATGAAGTTTTGGCTGGTGCCTCGTCGCGCTCTGACCATCCTTGCGTAGAAGCGCCGCTGTTGCTGACTGCCGCAGCCGAGATTGGGATACAGGCAAGTCAGGTGGCAAGATTCCTGGTGCAGCATTGCAGCGTGACCATGGGCCACTTTCCCGTCCTGACGCGAACTTTACAGGTGCCTGTGCAAGAGATTGCGCACCATTCCCCCCACCTGGCGGAGACTGTGGCTGAACTGGTCCAAGAAGAGGGCGACGCCTCTGCGATCCAACTGCGAGACGCTGAGTCGCCCAGCCTCACGGCCATGTTGAGCCGGCAGCTCGACGTGCAGCTGCTGGTGGCCTCCTATGTCTTGGAGCTGCAGAGGCACATGACGGCCACCCTGACGTTGAAGAGCTCCAAGAAGTGCCCGCCGTCGGCCCTTGCCACGGAGCTCATGCGACGCCCCTGGGTCCCCTCCTCATCTGCCTTAGCCAAGCCGGGGGACACGCGCTTCTTGTGGGACACGCCGGAGCTGCCAGGATTGACAGGCAAGCTGAAGCCCCGCGTGCTCGCGGTTCTGCAGCCTCACGTTCCCATTGTCAGATGCTTGCTGGAATCTGGGAAGTATCTTTGTCTTTGTTGCTCTTCGTCGCGGATCTCTTTGTCTTCTTCCTCCTTTCTCTTTTTCATCTTTTCCTTTTCTTTTGCTTTCCTATTGTGTAGTCATTCCGTCTTGCGGCAAATTAATTTCCCAGCGCGTGCTTTTCTGTGCCAATTGCAGCATCGCCGAGCTTGGCTTTTCGTTGTTGGGCCCTGCCACATGGTCAGACTGCGCCCGCCACCTGCCCAGGGGACGAGAACCTCTCCGGGGGCTTCCGCAAGTTGCTGCAGCAGCTGGGCTCCAAGCAGCTTGCCTCCAGGGATGTCCTGCAGCTGCTGCGGACCTGGTCTGAGTCCAGGCGCGCCCAGGGCGAGCGCCAAAAAACGGGGGTGACTTCCGAACGTGGTTTCAAAGCCCTGGTTAGTTTGCAAAGGATGTCTTGCGCCATGTGGCCATGCGCCACAGCTTCAACACGGGACGCTGTGACTGGAAGATGTGGAGCTGTGGCAACATCCAAAACATAGTTTGAAATGCGGAGCCTTGGCACAGGCCTTAGCGCACACGCGCGCACGCAGCCGCAGCCGCACCTACACCCACATCCACACCCACACCGAACGACCGAACGAACAAACAAACAACCGTGCAAGCAAGCAAGCAAAGCAAAGCAAAGCAAAGCAAAGCAATGCAAGCAAAGCAAATTAAAGCAGGCAAGCAAGCAAGCGAGCAAGCCCGCGCGCAAGCATGCACGCACGCGCTCTTCAGAAGTCGGGCGGGCCAGCGCGCTTGTCCAGGACGGAGATCACTGAGGGTGAGATGACAGTAGTTTACGAGAGTTTGCACACCTTGCACATCCACAATCGGACTACCGACGTGGAGGAAGCTTTCCAGGCCAACGCCGAAAGGCTGATATTTGTGCCTTTGGATGCCAAATTGACAAAGACGCCTGGCTTGGAGCCTTTGAGTTTTACAGTGCGATTGGGGCACTTTTCGTAGCTATAAGGCATCTACCGTTAGGTCTGGGTTTGAGCAGTGCATGAGGAGGGTGACTCCAGTGCTGTCGGCTGCAGTTTGAACACACGCCCAGGAGGAACAACAGCGACTCCAATAGGATGCACGGTAAATGGGTGGCTGCCTCATCTTGCTGTATCCTCGAGGCAGGGTCGGCCGGTCCGCGCAGTTTTCTATTTCCGCCATTGATTCCGTCATTTTTTAGCAAAGTTTCTGTCGTGCAACGCAGCCCAAGCCCAGCGACAAGCAAAGTTTGCGCAACAACCCACCAAGGCGGTCCGCTTTGCCCACCCCCTGCAGGACAGGCAGTTCACCAACAGGGTTGGCGGGCACTTATCGCAGCTCCAAGCCGTGAGGGAGCTGGAGTTGCACTATGCTAAAGTGCTGGAGGAGCGGTCAATGTCACGCAAGGAGTCATGTCGCCCCATCTCTCACTCGCATGCAAATCATACAAATGTGGGCTGATGTGTGTCCAGATGATGCGATAGTTGCTAATGTATGGTGGTGACACTGGAAAGGCTGCAGAGGGCCCGTAGAGACTTGTGGCTGGCCCTGTCTAGGCTCCCTTTGTTCGGTTCGGCATCGAAAAGTTCCCGACGGAAGAGCATCGGATCCACAGCATCGCTGCTGCAGCATCAAGCAAGGAGTTCAACAATGCCATCAGGATTGCTCTAAGCGGGCATTCAGCGAGTCATTTGGTTGATCGCTTCTAGCATCTCTCAGACTCTGGGTTTGCAGGATTGCCGAGACACTTCTGGCACAGACCTTTGAGTGGGCAGGGCCAGGACTCCGCGCACATGTATGCATGTGTGCAAGGTGTAAGGTGGGGTGCTATGCTCTAGGGCCATTTGAATGGGCCCTTGGAATGGACCTATTGTTAAAGAAATAAGGGGGCAAGTCAAGGCGGCATTCCAATGAGCCTAGATATGCATGTAAAAGGGAAGCATGTGGTACCCGAAGCTTCTTGGGCCGGTGCCCAGGGCAGGAGCGCCGCCGCGGCGAGCCGCTGGACCCCGAGCACTGCCGGACTCTGCGCCGCTGCTTCTCCAGACACCGCTCGCTGCCCACCCAAAACCACGGCTGGGTCGCATGGCACGACGGCTGTGATGAGCAGCCAGGCGCCGTGGAGGTGTGTCTTCCCTCCCAGCAGGCTCATGGCAAGAAAGTGCTGCATGCGCGCCTGCAGCGCTTATTTGGAGTCTTTTTGGAGCTGGGTATGAAGCGGGCAGAAGAAGCGGAGGCTGAAGATGCTGCAGCCGCAACGGCAGACTCTGTTCCCAAAGCTGCTGAAACTCCAAGCTGCGAGGTGACCAACGAAGGCAACGACTCAGAAGCAGGCGATGTACTTCGTCAGGCAATGGCCTACGTCCAATGCTGGCTGCACATTGTGCACCCGCAAGTGTACCATATCCTAAATACCAGGGCTCCCGCGCTTCATTCACTCGTCATGCGCGAGGCAGAGGCACTCCAGATAGCAGGACGCAAGGTGTCAGCTTTCATGTCGGCTGAGTCGGCAACATTGTTCTTGGATTCAACCAAGCGGGGTAGGGACATGCAGCAAGCTCTGCAACTGTTGTTGGGGCACCCGCGTGGGTTGAGATTGCAAAGGTCAGATGAAGTGGGAGCGAATGCGGAAATGTTGGGGACGGAAGTTCTCATCCGCCTGGCTGAAAGCGAGCGTCCTGGTCGAGCGGCATTCAACGTTCTCTGCGAGTTTGGGTATGAGTGCCCAGATCCGCCGGCCTCGTTGCCATTGGCCTGGTGGTTTGGAAAGCCTCCTTTGCTGGTGGAGGAGGCTCCGCCCACTGTCGCCACTGGAGCGCTGGCCCCAGGCACAGGGCGTGGTCGCTGGACGCGGCACCTGGGCGTTGAGGATGCAAAGGACCGGATAGCCGGCTCAGGGTCAACCCCTTCGACTGGGCCAGGGCATGTCGCTGGGCCGGCTGGGCCGGCTGGGTCTGCTGGGCCTGCTCCTGGTCCCGACAGCGAGGTGGACTGTTGGTCCGCGCGGCGCAGCGCGGAGGTGGTGCGCAGGTCCTCCGACCTCGCCGGCTCGAGCTTCGGAAGCGTGTCTGGCGATCAAGGGGCCGGCCAAGCAACGCGGGCGCAGGCTTGGGCTGCCCTGCAGGCGCAAGAACTCGACAATGTCATCCAGCACTTAGGTTTGGGCCGCGGCTCGGCTGGGTTGAGTTGCTCCAGGGCTTCGTCGCAGCTGCGCCCTTCGGGTCAGCAATCAAGTGTTAAGTGGGTGAGGGACATGCGTGTGCCAGTGCCAGCTTTTCCTCTTCACTTTGAGCTGTCTTTGGGAGGGCGGGGGAGTTGATGATGCAGCGCAGATTTCATTTCACTCACATGCGTGTCGTAAGCAAATTCAGGCATTCCCAACATCTTTCTTGCCTTGGCCACTTTGGGGTGCAAGAGGCTTGTGACTTGTGGTACGCTGGTGTGCTTCACATTGAGGTTATTTGTTGATTTTCCGCAAGTTTCGGCATCAGCAAGCTATTTTTCGGGACTGTTGCCTCGCACCTATTGATCAATTTGCATTAGGATGAACGTAACATGGTGGCTTTCCCAGGCTACGAGAATGAACAGTGCATGGCAGACGTGTCTGTGAGTGATTCGGACCAGGAAAGGCTGACAGCCATGCGAGAGAGGAGAGGCAGGATTTGGAGGCGCACGGAATCGCTGGACTCGCCATTTTCAACGATAAGTCTCCACTGTTCTTGGTACACTTTTTCTTCTTCTTCTTCTTTGTTCATTTTTTAGTATGGGGGCTGCTGAAAAGGAGCAGTCTTGGAATCTGCTTAGTTGGTGGTTCGAATTGGCGATTTGGGATTTTTGAACCCTTGGTTCTTATAGAGGGCAAATGGGAAACCACACCCTCCACCAAACCACCGGGCTCCAAACCACCAATTAGAAGGTAACTGAAGCCACGTTGAACCCCTGGTTCTCGTAGAGGGCAAATGGGGTCAACCCGCTTTGGATCTGGCTTTTGTGGATCCACCCGGCATGAAAAGAGTACTAACAGATGAATCTAAACAAAGGGGGGCAAGAACTTTGGTGAACTCCGCCAATCGGCGCACAAAAACCCAGCCGTTTTCCCGGTTCTTTTTTGGCCCAAGCCGGATTTTTGTGGCCGTTTCCGCCGCCGGAAAGCAAGCTGTAAGCCGAAAGTCATCAGGCGCTGTCGCAGCACGCGGCGCAGCTGCGGGCGCTGGCGGCCGCCGGGGTCTTGGGGGAGGAGAGGGGCGGCCCAGTGGCGCCCTGGGCGGCGCAGCGGCCGGGCGAAGTGCTGCAGGGCTTGGAGGAGCGAGGGGGTGGAAAGCGCGAGAAATCCGCAGCTTTTTTTTTGGGGGGTGGGGGGGGGGGAACCACCCGACATCTCCAAAGAAAATGGTGCTTTTGTTTTTTTTGCCAGTTGGTTGCTTTAAATGTGTTGTTTACTTTGGGGGAACTGTTGGTTTCCCTTGAAAACCCCCAGAAAATGGGGGTACCATCAACAAAGGACAGACCGAAATCAAAGAGCGTACAGAGGTTGACTGTTGCTGGTTTGCCGCTGCGGCCGTAGCATGCAGCTTGCCTTCCGTTGGCTTTGCATCCGCAACTTGGATCAGCGATCGGGTCCTGAGCCAAAGGAGCAGCTGTCGCAGCACTGGACCTTCCAGCATTTGCCGCGACTTGGCAGATGTTGACCCCGGATGAAGAAACCCCTATGAATCCCCACCAGCGGCACCCCCCCCATATTGACAAACAGGTTTTTATTAATCCGAGGTCAACATTCATGCAGGAATATGCAAGTAACTATGGGCTGGTGCTGTCCACTTTCTCACCGATGGTAAGCTGATTGCAGATTGGCATGGGTTGCCAGGGCAAATGCAAACAAGTGTTGAGACCGGCCTTGTGTCTCTACCCAAGCGCTGAAGCTCCGCTCGCAGCTTGTGGTATGATCGCTTCCAGGAATTTGGATGAGATGCAAGGCCTTCCAGAAGATGCCCCGGGAGAATTGGGCGTGCCCACCGTAGGACTCGCGAAAGAAAGTCGAGGTAGTGCCATCAAGCCTCCTGGCTGTTTTCGCTTGGCCAGGACGGTTAACAGCAGATGATGAGAGGAAGGTGGCTACATGGGGTGAACAATGGGCTTGGCACCCAGGGCTGACATCGCTTGGGTGGGTGGGGGAGGGGTGAGGGGGGGGCTATTGGCAGATTCCAACTGGAATCTGACATTGCTTTCCTCCAGAGGTCTTCAAAACACTTCGGAGGAAATACGCGCATGATCCAGATGCAGCTTGGCTAGATTTTTTTTGCGCCAAGAAAGGCTGTCTTGAGTTGAGTTTCAGATGAGTCGCCCCGCCGGGCAAGGTGCTGGTGCGTTGGCTGAATCAGAGTGATGAGCAATTCGAATTCTATGACATCTCAGTGGTTCATCCAGATGGAAGACAGGACTTCCTTACAGTGTACTATTGCTTGGGCTTGTTGAGGTTGGGCCTGGCTTGGTTGGTTGGTTGGTTGGTTGGTTGGTTGCTTGCTTGCTTGGTTGGTTGGTTGGTTGGTTGGTTGGTTGGTTGGTTGGTTGGTTGGTTGCTTGGCTGACCTCCCTCGTGTTCACAAAGGCTGTAAGATTGTTTGGCTGCTTGGTTGTTCTTTGGGTTTATGGCTTAGGGTTTAGGCTTGGAGTTCTTGCTTCTCAGTGCTCCGGTTCTGGCCTGGTTCGCTGAGCCAGTTAAGCAGTCAGAGGACTTCTATGAGGTGAAGTCCACCATCACGCGCGACAAGCGACTGCTTGAGGCGGGAAGCTGGAGGTTCTAGAGCTTGCCAGTGGGAATTTCATCGTCAAGAATCGGTACCCGACATGGAACCCCGCTAGATGGGACAAATGGCTCAACTCCGCAGTCCCCTGGTGGTTTAGTTTGGACCCATACCCATCTAGGCGTCAAAAAGGGAACTGCCGCGCAATTTCCTCGCGGTGCAGTTTTACCCGGCGGGCCGGTCGGGGCAAGTGGCTCTGTCGTGAGATTGGGAAGGAAAAAACGCCGGAGGTCTCTGAGAAGCAGGTCATCGAAGCCTCCCTTCTCAAGAGCCGCTTCAACTTGGTTCGCGCAACCTGCCGTGAGAGCACAGGAGCATTTGTTGGTGAACGTTGGGGAAAGCTGCTCTTGGCTGCTGACCGAACCATTTCTGGGTAGACGTAAGGCTGCAGGCCTTCCAGGGATCGTCGATGGGGCAGTTGTAGTTCGTGCAGTTTCCTCTGTGCTTTAAACCTGCCGGCTCCTTTTCAGACACATCACTGGACATGTGCCTTGAGTCACCTTCCCAAATGCTTGAAACTTCTCGGGCCTCGCCTCTTGGGTGACTCAAGTGACTCAAGTCTTCTCGGGCCCCGCAAGGTGTTTGGTGCGGGCAGCAGCTCTGCGCGGATGCTTTTGGTCCCAAATCCCAGCGCGCAATGCCTTCGCAAGGCTCAGAGCGGCGCCTTGGCGCCATTTGGCTGTGGTGGTCAAAACCGGTAATGGGATCCCAGTTTGGTTGGTTTTCGGTGCACCACCCTTGGTTGCTAGGTGAATTCACAACCCACTTTAGAACCTATTTTAGTGGTTGGATTGGGATGTGAAAACTGGGGGCTAACCTCGGATCGATGCTCGCTGGCTCGCTGGAGGCGTAGAGCTGCTCCTGAAGTTGCCCTGAGGAAGAATCCGCTGTCTGGCGCGGAGGACAGACCGGCCGGACCGCGGAAAAGCTGCGAGCGAGCGCTCGCCGCCGTGAGAGTTTGCCCAAGCACAACTTAAAGGCAACAGCAGGCAGTTCTTGGCCCCTTTTCCGCTTTTCCTCAGAGTGGCAGGAGCGCGATGCCTTTTTTGGCGACGGCCATTGCCAAAATGCACGGCCAGGTCGGAAAGCCGGCGCGGCTCGCTGTCCAAAGAGCCGGGCCACCTGGCCCGGGGCGGACCGGGAGAGGTCCGCAGGTGACGAGTTTGCTCATAGCAGCCTTTTGGCGAGCTTTGGACGCACACCTGGGTATGGGTCAAAATTAAACCACCTGGAACTTGCAGGTTCTAGTGCAGGTTTCGGCTTAGCGGGACAGTTTGGGTACCTGGTTTTGACCCACAGCCTGGGCATTTTTGCCAAGGGCCCCTCGAAAGCAGCGGGAAGATGTGCAGGAGGCGCTGGCCTTGGTGAAGCATTCACGCCGTGCTTGCCGTCAGTCGCCCGGCTGTTTGTGTGAAGTCACTTGGTGCCAAAGGAACCGCCGGCACAGCCACCCCCGGCTTTGCAGCCTTCACAGGCGCAGGCCCCCAAGCCTTCTCAGCCTTCGCAACCTCCACCAGCCCCACAGCCTTCACAGCCTTCACAGCCTTCACAGCCTTCACAGCCTTCACAGCCGCCACAGCCGCCACAGCCGCCACAGCCCACGTTGTTGGACACCATGAGCAAGCTGGAGCCAAAGCAGCTCTCAGCGCACTGGGCGCAGGCGGGGAAAGGGGCATGGTGCCCATGCGGTTGAACCGCTGCCAACACTTGAAGCTCAAGCCGCCTGGCGCGAAGATTGGCAACCCCAATGTGCCAGGTGGACACCGTATTCCTGGCACCTCAGCAGGAGGTGAAGCCTCAGTGCAAGTTCACTGCGGCAGCCTTAGTGTTCGAGCATGGTTCCTGTGCTTGTTCAGCTGCGCACGTCCAATCCAGGTGAAGTGCAGGTGGCTCGGGAAGGAGAAGGTTGCTCAGACCATGGCTCAGCATTTTTTGGGCGGGCCGCTGCATCCCACCATTTTGACGGCTCAATCCCCCCAAAAAATAGATACGCCCTCCCTCCTCCTCAAAACAAACCTACTCCTCCAGGAAAACATTCAAGTAGTCCCATAGTGGTCCCCCCTTTGTCCAGGAAACTATGAAGTCTAATTCCTTGTTTGAATGGACCCGCTGAAGGCAGTTTGTGGATTTGCCACTTGAATGCCTGAGCCCCCAATACGACTGCACTTGGGGTCGATGGGACATGTGTTGGCTTAGATCTGGCTCAGCCTTGCATGTATCTAGCTTAGTGTTGCGAGAAGTGTTTGAAAAGTTCATGGCACACATCCACATGCTTGGGGCTTAGTGAGAACCCCAAAGGAGACCACGAACTGTGGGTGGAAACCGGACCCGTTCTCTTTGCAGTCCAGGTTTGGAAGGTTTGTTGACGTAATTTGGGTGTATCTTTTTGTGCTGGTCCCCCCTTTTGTTTGGTTGTAAAGGGAAAGCAAAAGGATCACACCCATTTTGGGCCCCCTAAAACCAGACACACCCATTTGTAAATTCGTGAGTGAAGTTCTTTTTGGTTTCCCTTGTCAGACAGGGCTTTGAGCCCCCTGCCTGCACCGGTGATTGGATCTGGCATGCTGGTCCGTAGCTTCAACTTGTGCAGGCTTGGCATGCGTTCCATTGGCTCAGCTGGCCGTTTTTTCGCCTCGCAGAACGGGCCCGGCTTCGCTTCAGATGCCAAGTTGGCCATGGCCCGCAAGCTTGTGCTGATCACAGGCTGGTCAGGCGCTGGCAAGACCACCACAGGCAACTTCCTGGAGCTGCCTGGCGAACTGCTGACCCGAACACGTCTATTGGAGAAATGTCTGTTTGGGTCACACGAGTCGCAGCTGGCTAAGGTTTTACCATGGTCTCCACCACCTGGATGGAGACAACATCATGCACCGGAAAGATGATAGGAGCATAAAGCTTCGGGATGGCCTGGTGCGCTGGACGCACAAGGCATGTGTGCAGCCTATGGGTAAGACATGGTGTCTCAATCCGTGCCGAGGTGAAGTCGTTCTATGACTTCTGGTTCAAAGATTTGCCAGCACCGCCTGAACTTTGGAAGCCATACATCGACGAGCTTGTGGGTCAGTACATGGAAGCGGCCGAGCACTCCGTCCGCAATCTGTGACTCATGCAGAACCTTGCCCTATCTTGGCTTGATACTGCCCCCCTAGACGCCGCCAGACCCTAAAAGTCTTTGAAAAAGGGGAGCCACAGTTTCCAGCTGGCAATACGGAGGAGGCCAGCCGTTGAGGTCCTTCCCTGCGATCGTCCTCAGCTTCTCAGTTTACCGCCGGGAGGTTCGCGACTACTTCCGCCAGAGGATCCCCGAGATTTTCTTCCTGAAGCTGGACTGCGATCCCGACGTGGTCATCCAGAGCGCGCTGGGACGCCTGGAGACGTACCTGGAAAACAAGAAGCAGACCGTGGAGGACTGGTGGAGGGAGGAGAAAAAAGAGGAGAAGTACGGGAAGTTCAGCATGGAGACTTACAAGCAGATGCAGATGACCGAGCCGCCCGGCCGCCCTTTCGGCCTTGGCCTTGAAGGCAGCATGTGAATCGGTGCCGAGGTTCCTGGCGGGCATGCAGCCCCTGGATGCTGGCGAGGGCGTCTCTTGCGACGTCACGCCGCGCGGACAGAAGGCGCTCGATGCGGTGGCCGAAGCCCTGGGTCTGCCGAAGAAGGCGGGCTCCTTGCGAAGGGCTTCGTCGTAGGGAAAAGGCTTGCTGGTGCTCAGGGAATGAGAAATGGCATGAACCTGGGGACCCGGCCCCTTAAAGGGAATCACCATGGTTTTGGGGTTCATTCCCTCATTCCCTGCTGAGCACCAGTAAGAAGATCAGGTGGCTACAATGCCTGTTTGGCCGCTGCGAAGGTTTTTGATCCCCGCGAATGGTCTTGGGCTTTGTTTGCAGGACATTGACCTGGAGCAACTGAAGAGGGAGGAGAGAGCACGCCTTGCGCAGATTGCAGCGGCACACTGACGCGTGCACCTTGGCAAATTCTTCCCCAGTGACAGCAGCTGTTCTCTTTCAGGACCGTTGAGCGTGGAGGTGGTTGAGCAGCGGAACCCCACTTTTTCATGCCGCTTTTTGGGGATTTTTGCGGCGCCGCATTCGAGCGCTTTAGCCAACAGGCAGCTCGTTGTGACGTTGTGATTGTTGTTTTCCCCCCTTTTTGTGGCCGGAGTGGTTGAGCAAGATCCGCGTTGGGGAGCGAATCCCCGGACAAGTCGAAGCACATAGCACAGAACTGATAGAAGGTGTTGCACGGCATGAAAAGGAGGAACAGATACGCACTCCGAGCGTCTCTGTGCTTTTTGCAAAGGGTAAAAGTTTGGGTGATTCGATGCCGGCCAGTAGCTTGTTTTGGCCTTCTGCCAGGCACCTGGCCGTTGAACGCAGACATCTGGAAACGCGGAGGTCGAGTTGTGATCTCGGGCAAGCCACGTGGAAGTGCTGGCGCGCCTGCACGTCATGTTGCTCAGCTCGCCTGCTTGAAGCAAAAAGGGCCGCGTGCAATGGCCAAGGGTCAGGCCGTACCCAACTTGCCTGCCCAGCAAGCAAAGGCAATGCAGCAATGCATGCCGGGGCACTGATCGTTTCACCCCGCGACGAATCATGTGCCTCGTTGGCTCGCCCTGGACACGCAGGCGATCGATTTTTCTTGTTTTGCCAGCCTCTGACCAAGCCCAAGTTGCGAGCGCTGCAGCCAATGACGGCGGGGGGATTTCAAGTCGCACGCATCGATCCTAGCCAATGAGCCATGAGCTGGGCAATGCGCTCTTTGCGGTGGCGCCCCTGCTGCAGTGCTGCATGGCCAAGTGGCATACGTCCGGCACAAAGGGCCCTTCCCAAATTCCTGGGGCACACTCCGTTGAAAGCGCTTGAGTGGCCTGTTGAGTGCTTGGTGGCTCCCAGCCGTAATTTTTTTGGGGGATTACATAGTGGAGTTCTCAGCTTTTAGCCGGGGATCCGTTTGGACAGCCCGGTGGAATCGCAAGGTGCAGCAGGTGCAGCCGGAGCTGGCGCCGAAGCTCACCGGGATGCTGCTGCAGCTCGGGGAGGAGAAGTGCCGCACCTGCCGCGCAGCAAAAACCAAATCTGTGGGTCGAAAAACAGGTACCCCAAAATGGGTGGCCCTGGTAAATCGACACATGGTTTAATTTTGACCCATGCCCAATTAGCGCAGAGGGAGAGGGAGGGAGAGAGAGCTGCATTCAGAGGTACGTTTTTGGTTTAAGTTTAGATAGGTTCCAGCTGCTACAGTGGAGAGAGAGAGAGAGAGGCATTTTGGGGCCACTCTCTTCCCTTTTGGTTTAGATAGGTTCCACCTGCACTCGCACAACAGGGGTGTAGCAGGATAGGCAAGCGGCACCCTCAGGCCCCGCCGGAGGTTTTTTCTTTACTCTTTGGGAACTATCGATTGGGAACTCGTGGCCGGCTCTCCAGCTGGTTTTGGGAGGTGACTCAGCGATTGGCCTGAGGCTTGGATGACTATGAATACCTCGCGGAGAGGTTGGACGAGGCTCACTTTTTCGCGCTAACGTCGATGCTCACTGGGGTTTCTTGACCCTTCCTGGAGGCCATGGCCATCCTTGACGGCGCCAATGCGCACGCACAGGCTTTGACCAAGGGTATGGGACCGGACCATGCTGCGGGAACGGAATGCAGGCTGATTATTCGTTTTGTCTATTTTCCTTTTTGCCCTTCTTGCCCCACCACACCCAGAGTTGTAAGGTTTCGGCGCAGGCCCTCCTCGCGGTGGCTTTTGATCCACCTCGTCCGCCTCCGCCATCGCATCCTCTTTCGCTTGCCTGACGCCCACAGGCCAGCAAGCCCACGACCCCGGCTTCTGAGAAGCGAGTGGATCCAGAAGATGGGACATCCAGGACTCTGCAGCTGGTTGCACCTTTCGCGTGCTGTTCTTCTCTGGCATTTGGTTGTCCAACTGGACCTTAGGACGTTTGTTGAGCTGCAGAAGCATTATGCGAAGCAGTACTCTCAGCAGGAGATCAAGGACTTGGATGTGCAATAGGTCCATGTACTGAAGGCGACAAGTTTCAGTTGGGATTTCGCGCGGCGATCTGTTCCTGCTTGTAGATGTCAGGAGTATTGGGAGTTTTGCAAGCCGGCGGGCGCGATCGCCCAGAATGGCACTGCCAAAGCTATGGCCGCTTGGCTTTGCAACACTTTCGGCCTTGCATTTTGCGCACTGCATTTTTCATGTCGGTGGTGGCTTTCGTGCTGGGGCAGGGAAAGCCCGAGCCGCAAAGCAAGCCGGCGCCGGCTTCCACGCCGAAGCCCGCTGCTTCCACGCCGAAGCCCGCTGCTTCCACGCCGAAGCCCGCCGCTTCCACGCCGAAGCCCGCCGCTTCCAAGCCGGCCTCGAAGGCGGCGGCGAATTCTGTGCCAAAGGCTGCACCGAAGCCGGAGCCGAAGCCGGAGCCTGTGACGCCGAAGCCGGCCTCGAGCCCTCCCAGGTCAAAGGTCACTCGGCATGCCTCGGCCTGACTCGTCATGGGATACAGATCAAACACGCGAGGGAGACGGAGTTTCGAACGTTTGGAGGGCGACAAGCCATGGATGTGCGCTCAAATTCCTTGCAGGCACCGAAGGAGGCAGTTCCAGGTCTTGCCGCCTGGCTGGCAGAGTTACGGCGGCCCGGCCGCACAAATTTAGCTTCTGTTGCTTTGAAGGATCCAAATGCCCTAGGCTGGAGAGCTACTTGCCAGCTGCGGAGCAGTGGGCGGAGGAGCAGGGTGCAGTGAGCCTGGAGGAGGTGGTGGAGTTTAGGGAGGATCTTGCGCAGGACCTTCCTTGCAATCCATCTCCGCCCTCCTTATTTTACCGTCAAAGTCACCCCCGAAGTGGTGAGTTAAAGGGAAACAACCGATTCCATTTACTCTTTGATAACCCCCAGAAACCGTCAAAACAATGACCTTGAACCCTAAGACCTGTCCGGGCGCTTTCCCGTGTACAGTGATTGATGGACCCTCTTGACCAGCTGCCCCCGGCAGCTTCGCCGGCAGGACTTGACGCTCAAGGTGTTGGAGCGCAAAAGGCTTGTGGCATGGGCAGCACTAGCGATGTGCACACCTAGAGAGGCAGAGAGCCAGAATGTTTGGGCATGGCTGTCCAGTGGTAAGCCTTTGGTACACCATTTGAGGTCGATGGCGGTGAGGCTGCAGCGCAACTGGTGGAGTCTCAGCCGGCGGAGGAGGAGGAGGAGGATGAGGAGGAAGAAGATGGCGATGAGCTGCAGGAGGGCCGCTATGCCCAGCTAGACACCGAGCGGGACCTTGCGGTGCCTTGGAGACATGTGGAGCGCAGTCAGGTAGACGCGGTGTGCCGATGGGCCAGTCCCAAGTGGCGCAGTGCGGGCGGGCAGTCTGAATCGGGCTGAGGCGCTGAGCCGAGTGGATTCTGAACCTCCAAGCCATGCGAGCCCGGCAGAACTGCGCGGACAAGCAAGGCCTCCGCGAGGGCAGGGCTTCAGCGCAGGCAGGGAAATTGCCAGGCTGGCCCAGTGCTTGTTCTGGAGCTGCTGCGGACACTTGCTTGGCGCTGCTCTTGTTTCTGTCGCATTTTGCTTGTCAAGGCGATGAGGTGGGAGCCACTGGAGGCTACTATGACAAGAGCATTCCAGCAAAGAAGTCAGAGGCGGGAAAGGCTCTTGCACCGGAATTGACGCCTTGGAGAGATGACTTCTCAGGAGGCTCCGCAGGAGAGGCGGATTGACCCAGAAGACGGGCAAGCCAGAACCTTTCGAGAGTCTTGCCTACATGTGCTCCCGCAAAGCTTGAAGGGCAGCTTGACGCAGTTCGCAGCTGAGGAGCTCCAGGCGCTGTACACCCACCTCTACAGCCCCCAAGAGATCTTGGAGTACTGGACCGAGTGCGAGGCGCCGGCCAAGACAACGAGCGCCCCGACAAGCGCGCCGAAGACTACCAGCGCGCCTGTAGCCGCGCCCAGCGGCTACAAGAGCGGGACGACTCCGGGCGCGCAGCCCTGGGGAGCTGGAGAGAAGCGTCGCTTCTAGCAAGCGGAAGGGCTGCGAGCGAGATGTTTCCGGGGCATTTTCCGGAAGCCCCGGCGCCCCCCGTTGATCGCGTTTGGCGGACAAAGACATGGAAGGCTCTCGAGCGCGAGCAAGGGGGCTGAAATGTTGCTGTGTGCTTCCGCGTGCCCTGCCATGCCCTTCATGTCTTTGCCTGCGTCACATGAATTGAACTGGGTCTCATAATATCCAGGGATATCCAGGGCATTAGGCCATAGCTTCCAGAGCTGTCTCGGCTCGGCGGCTCTTAGCGTGTCGCTGACCGGCGGCAGGGCTCAGGCCATGATCAGGTCAGGTCTAGTATCGCCCAAGTTGGGTTCTAGTCAAGCCCCTCAGCCCACAACATAGCCCTTGGCACCTGTCGCGCAAGCGGACCAAAATTCAGCCAGTTGCTCAAGCTGAAGCTTCGTTCCACACCACAGCGACCCTGCGCCCCTTGTACAGCCATGTGGACGCTGCTGATGGAATTGTTTTCAATCGTCTTTCTGGCCAATCCCATACACTGGAAGGTGAATGTGGGCGTGTCGCTTGGCTCAAGGGTCGGCACCTTGCTTGTGACGTCCTTTTGTTTGTTTTCTGATCTTGTTACAAGGGAAGGGGTGCTATTTCTATTGTCATTGTTTAGGCGAAGTGGCAGCTGTGCAGTGTTAGGAATACCTGCTGGGCAGTTTGTTGATTTGGGTGCATGTTTCCCCAGAAAGCTGCGTGCTATGAAGGGGACGGGGTATGACGCGAACATTTGGGTGTTTCCGTGTGCTGTTTGGGGGGGGGCCAATGGGGCAGGACGCAGGAGCTCGCAGGGTTTGGGGGAGAGAAGGCTTACCCCGCCCCTTGTGCAAAAGCGAGGCCGTTGAAAGTGTGTGAATCGTCTCAGGTGACATGGTTGGCAGAAGCACTTCATCACCACCACAAAAACCCTCTTTCAAATCGTCAAGTGGGGCAGGTGATGCGCGATACCAAAGCGAGAGCACTGTGCACTGTTCAGAATGAGATCATCGCAAGTCACTCTAAAAAATGGTCAGAAGTGGTGATTCAGTGGCAGTGATTAAGTCGTATCGTTACAAATGAGCCGGGCTTTTCTGATAAATCTGTCTGTCAGGGTTGATCGATTGGACAAGAAGGGGGGGGCCAGCCGCTGGTCCAGTCTGGATCTTGCTGACTTAATCTCGACGCAGGTGTTCCCTTTTCTTGTACTATTGGGATGAGCGCTCCATTTTGCACCGCGAGTTTGCGGAGATGATCTACTGGGCTTTGATGTACGCCTGGCCTGGGGGCCCAGTCTGAAGCCATTTTTTAGATGTGGCCGTGGGTCAAAACCGTTTTGGGATCCCATTTTGGGGTAGGTTAATTCACCACCCGTCTTAGTCTATTTAGTGGGGATTGGGATGCGACAACTGGGGGCTAACCGATTTGGATTTGACCCCTGGCCATGTTGGCTTCTTTGAGGCACCAGGGTGCGTTCATTCTTTCCGGATGGAGGAGCTTCAAGGTTGGCCTGACCGCTTGGGACCTTGCCTTCGCCATGCATAAGGTTTGACATGGATGGCCGAGAGAAGTAAACAAATCTCACTCGAGAAGGGAAATGTCACTTCCTGGCCGAGGTTTGGCTTTATTTTCCTCGAACTCCACGACCTACCTATTCTCCACCTCGGCGAGCTTAAGTCGATCTTCGGGTCAATCGCTGACTTGATTATAGCCTCCCGGCATTGATGCCCGGCAACTTCCGAGCTCCCTTCACGTGGCCCGCATGCCTTGTGGCACGAACATCGCAGCGCGCTTCAGGCTTTGGTCTTCAGTCTTTGTGGCATTTGGGCGCACACAAGCGCTCAGAATGATCGCTTGCAATCCTCAATCCAGGAGCCGTGACTGCAGGATGTTGCTGCAGGTCCAAAACGCCTGAGGCAGACAGCAAGGTAAACCTTTAGAGTGAGCCTATTGGATACAAGCGTTCTTAGCTGTCCTGACAGGGGGCTGGCATGTGCTGACACGCTTGGTGGCGAGTATGCTTCTGCAGGAGCTTGATTTGAGCATGCTGGTGAACAAGCAGCATAAGGAAACAGGATCTGCAAGGCATGCCGTTTACTGAGCCTTGGCGACTTTTCTCTCAGCGATGCATGTTTCAAACTAGTGCGCAACTCCAATTTGTCCAGTCAGTGACAGACAGGCTGCGAGCCGTGCTCCAATTGCTTCAGACGTCTCTCGCCAAGGCATCGAGGACCTTGTCCGTTCACGTAGTACCTCTTCCGGCCAATTGCAGCGTCTGTTTGGCCCCTCGCCCCGTTGAGCCTTGAGCCCGCCGGCGCTTTGCTTCATGGAAAGCGGCCCAGGCAAGCTGGGCGAGACTCTGCTGGGCCGAATGCAGCGCTCCGAAGAGGAGGCCAGATACGCACCGGGAGTTTGAGATTGGCCGAACAGAATGGTTCCACTGGTCTCGCAACGGGTAAGCTTTGAGTTTTTTTAGTGGCCCTTGGTTCACGGCTGGCCGCCACCACTGTGTTTTGTTTTTGATCCTCGTAAAACGCTTAGGTCATGCAGGCGTTGGAGTCCTGCTGCCTCAAGTCGAAATCAGACAGGGAGCCGGGGCCTCAGAGTGACGTTCTGAGCTCCGCGTGCGGGTGGAAGTCGTGGCCTCGAGGTCGCCCCCGCGTGACCTGCTCTTCGTCCTGAACTGCAGAGATGTGGACCTGCCCCAGCTGTTCGCTCTGACCAGCACCGGGGCGAAAATGTGGAGTGCGTGTGGCGGCGGACAGGTTTGCCAAGCGGATGTGGGTGTGTTTTTTTAGTTGGTAATTACTTCTATTTTTTTTTGGTGGCTTTAAAGGGACACCAAAAGGAAAACAACCGTTGCGCCACTTTGGGGGCTCCGTTTCCCCCCGAAAAAAAAAAAAAAAAAAAAAAAAAAAAAAAAAAAAAAAAAAAAAAAAAAAAAAAAAAAAAAAAAAAAAAAAAAAAAAAAAAAAAAAACGAGCCACCCATAAGCTAGCCGCAGGCAGCACTCGGCTGCTGGAATTGCTCCGAAAGCACGTGTGCCACATGGACACCGTCACGAAGACCCGGCTTGTGGATGCCTTGCAGCGACAGCACGACTTTTATGTCAACCTCCTGCAGCAAGAGCTGGTGGTGGAACTCCTCGAAAGCACCACAGGGGACGAGCTCCGTATGCTTCCTGGCCCCAAGGAAGCTGCAGGAAGCCCCAGGAAGCCCCAGGAAGCCCCAGGAAGCCCCAGGAAGCCCCAGGAAGCAGCAGGAAGCAGCAGGAAGCCCCAGGAAGCCCCAGGACCTCGCGCATGTTTGGTTGGCAGGGCTTGGCACGGTTCAGGGGCGGCGGAAGCACATCACGCCTGTGAGAAAAGAATGCCCTGAATTGGGAGGGGCAACTTGAGAAACCACTGCGGGAAAGCTGCGGTCCTTGTTACAGTGTCACTCTTTGAGCAAAAGTCAACCTGATACGTGCGTACGTGCCTTGCCTTTCAGCATATGAGCCCCTTCTCACGGACTCCAGCATTTCGTCATGCTTGCGCCATTGGCGAGAATACTGAACGAGCCCCGTCACGTCAGCGTTGCCATCAGAACCCTCACGCATCGTTCAAAAGACAGGCAGAGATTGGAGTAGCAGGATTCTGCTTTGGGCTCTCTTGTTGCACCCTCTCCTTTCTCGGCGCTCCATGAATCTGTTGCTCTCAGGTTGAAAGACATCATCGACGAGGGCGGTGATTTCTACAATCTTCACAAGCTGGTCTTCCATGATCTGGCCCCAGATATGCATGGATCTTAGCCAAGCGGGCGAAAGCCGAAAGCCGAAAGCGAGCGAAAGAGAGCATGTCCTACGAAAGGCGCGATTCATCTGTCCTACGAAAGGCGCGATTCATCTGCGCTGAGGTATTCCAGAGCTTTGAGCCACATCCAGAGAGAAGGACGTCAGCTGGCGACCAATTACGACCCCGGCAAGGCGGGGCTTGTCGCGTGCGCTGGGTGGCCATGAGGGGCGCTTTACGTGTCACATCCAGGCGCCAATCAAGATCATCAGCGATGTGGATGACACGCTGTATGGAAGCGCCTGGGGCGCGTTGACAGATTTCCGGTTTGTGCTGCTTGCTTTATAACCCACGGGCAGAGCCTGGCTGCGAGCTTGGGGGCTTGAATGCCGACGGGCAGCAAGTCCGGGAAAGTTGGAATCCTCTCCTAGCTCAGGTGGCGGTAGATTTCCAGCTGGTTGTGACAAGCGCTATCCAGCCCACCAGGCCAAGCGCTTGACGACGTGGCTTTCATTTTGCTGGTGCTCAGGAGGGAATGACCCAGGGTTTGGCAATGAACCTAGGGATTCGCTGAAAGGAAGCCACAAGGGATTGTTCGTAGGGGGTCATTTCCTCATTCCCTGCTGAGCACTGGGCACCAAGTCATTGATGTCGTGCGCAGCGTGCAAACGAAGGGCGAATCAGGTGGCAATAGCAACGAGGAAAAGCGTGAGACGAGAATGCCCCACGAGCCCACAGCGACGTGAAACATCGGCACCCGTTGAGCCGCAAGAGCCACACGAAACCCGAGGGGAGAGATACCAAAGAGGCTGCGGCAGTCTGGGATCCCATCCCAGAAGCGAAACAAGGCTTTGGGCTCCCCGGAGTCCACCTGAACAAACATGGCTTCGGCAGTGATCCAAGATGGGCATCTCAGCTCGTAGCCAGGGATACAGCCCACGCAGCGCGCCGCTCGCGGAGCCCGGGCCATGCTTCCAGATGACGCCTCCGCGCGTTGGCCTCCGCTTCCGCCGGGGAGAACGCCCTCCATGCCGGAAGATATGACTGGGGGCCAGAGAGAGAAACGAGCCGCGAAAAGCCCGCAATCGCCGAAGTACGCTTTAAATCTGCCAAGAGACGATTTCGCGAGGCGATGTAGGAACGTGGAAGCGCGCATCACCAGATTTTGAGGGGGAATGAGCCCCAGTTGCCCAGAAACACTGCCTCTCATCTTTTCGCAAGTCAGAAATGCGGTCGCTTGCTTGGGGTTGCGCTAGGTCTATCCTGGTGTGCTGGCCCTTTTCAAGGAGATCACCGCGCATCGGGAGATGAAGCAAAAGGAGAAGCTGAAGGCTGGGACGCATGGGGCGTGGCCGAATCGCTGGATCGAAGCCGCTGGTAGCAGCAGACTGTTGCAGCGCGTTTGTCTGTTGATGTCGTGAGCTACAGCGTCTAAAGGATTGCATGGTGCGTCCCCGAGGACGATGACCAAGCTGACGCACAGAGCGATGGACAAGTATGGAGGAGTGGGCGTGGCAAGAAGTTCAGTGAAATCCAGTCGACAATCAGCATTCAATAACTTTTTAGACCGCTCTTGCCATCTTTATCTTTCTCTGTCTCTTTTTTTTTTTTTTTTTGTTTCTCTTTCTTTTTCGGAGATGGTTTTTTTCCTCCCTAACCCTGGTCCCCCCTTAGCCCTGGTTGCCGGTTGGTTGGTTGGCTGGCTGGCTGGCTGGCTGGCTGGCTGGCTGGCTGGCTGGCTGGCCGCATCCCCGGCATCACCAACATCACTTGGACCTGGGGTTGCCTATTGGCTCTGATGGGGCAGTTGGGAGTTGCCGGGGGCTGGTTTAAGTTAGGGTTTTGGCTGGCTTCGATCTTCATGAGGGTGGGTCTTGGGTGGTTTGGGGTTGATTTAGGCGAAGCCAAGGGCTGACATCCAGGCTGCTGTTGGGCGGGTTTAGGGTTGACTTTGAGTGGGTGTTAGGTGTGCTGCTGGTTTAGCAGCGGCTTTAGAGTTGCTTCAGGTGTGGTTAATAGAGTTCTGGTCTAGTTTTGGTGGTTTGGGAGCGTTGCCACAAACCAACCCAAAACTAGACCAGAACTCTACTAACCACACCCTAAAGCAACTCTAAAGCCGCTGCTAAACCAGCAGCACACCTAACACCCACTCAAAGTCAACCCTAAACCCGCCCAACAGCAGCCTGGATGTCAGCCCTTGGCTTCGCCTAAATCAACCCCAAACCACCCAAGACCCACCCTCATGAAGATCGAAGCCAGCCAAAACCCTAACTGAAAAACCAGCCCCCGGCAACTCCCAACTGCCCCATCAGAGCCAATAGGCAACCCCAGGTCCAAGTGATGTTGGTGATGCCGGGGATGCGGCCAGCCAGCCAACCAACCAACCAACCAACCAACCAACCAACCAACCCACCAATCACAGCCAGGGTTAGGAAAATACCAGGGTTAGTAAAAAACAACAACAACACCTCCACCTTCTTTTTTTTCTTCCTCTTGCTCTTTCTCTTTCTCTTTCTCATTCTCAGTCTTTCTCTTTCTCTCTTCCTCTCTTCCAATCTTTCTCCCTTCCAATCTTTCTCCCTTCCGCTCTTCCTCTCTTCCGCTCTTCCTGCCTTCCTCTCTTCCTCTCTTCCTCTCTTCCTCTCTTCCTCTCTTCCTCTCTTCTTCTCTTCCTCTCTTCCAATCTTTCTCCCTTCCGCTCTTCCTCTCTTCCGCTCTTCCTGCCTTCCTCTCTTCCTCTCTTCCTCTCTTCCTCTCTTCCTCTCTTCCAATCTTTCTCCCTTCCGCTCTTCCTCTCTTCCGCTCTTCCTGCCTTCCTCTCTTCCTCTCTTCCTCTCTTCCTCTCTTCCTCTCTTCCTCTCTTCCTCTCTTCCTCTCTTCCTCTCTTCCTCTCTTCCTCTCTTCCTCTCTTCCTCTCTTCCTCTCTTCCTCTCTTCCTCTCTTCCTCTCTTCCAATCTTTCTCCCTTCCGCTCTTCCTCTCTTCCGCTCTTCCTGCCTTCCTCTCTTCCTCTCTTCCTCTCTCTTCCTCTCTTCCTCTACTCCTCTCTTCCTCTCTTCCTCTCTTCCTCTCTTCCTCTCTTCCTCTCTTCCTCTCTTCCTCTCTTCCTCTCTTCCTCTCTTCCTCTCTTCCTCTCTTCCTCTCTTCCCCTTTTCCCCTTTTCCCCTGCCCATCTTCCTCTTCCTGCTCCCCCTGGTGTTTTTTTTTCTTCTTTTTTTCTCTCTTCCTCTCTTCTCCTCTTGCCTTTCTTTCTTTCTTTCTTTCTTTCTTTCTTTCTTTCTTCCTCTCTTCCTCTCATCTCCTCTTCTCTTTCTTTCTTCCTCTCTTCCTCTCTTCCTCTCTTCCTCTCTCCCATTCTGCTTTCTGCGGCTCCTCTCTCGCTCTCTCTCCCTCTCTCTCGCTCTCTGTTGCTTTTTGTTCTCTCTCGCTCCCACTGGCACTCTCTCTCTCTCTCTTCTTGTCTCTGCGCCTATTCCATCTTGCATTTTCCAATTTATGTCCTTTTCCCTTGCTTGCTCTTTCTCTCCATTTCCGTGTTTCTTGACTGTAGTGCTACTCTGAACATTTCTGCAGCCTCACCCTCTATTCATTATGTCTGTCTTTGTTTCTATTTTTGCTCTCCGCACCTTCCCTCCTCCATGTTTCTCTTTCTTTCTTAGCCTTTGTCTCACTTTGTGCCTCCCTCCACACTCACATAATCTGCCATGTATCTCTGCATTTATTTGTCTCTCATCCCTTGCTTTCTGCCTCTCTTTGAGTATCTCTTTCTTATGCCCGCAGTTCTTTGGGCAGCTTGGACGCAGCTCCAGCCTGTTGGCGATTGAAGGAGCTACAACTTCCTGCGCATGCTAGGCTACCGCGGCCATGACAACCCGAACCCTGCCACCTGGCGTGCACCATGACATACTCTTGCCAGGGGCTAAAACGGAAAGGTCGGTCCGTATTGACAGGCCTCTTGCAGGCAGGTTTTTGCAAGCAGAGCTTGTTGATTTTTGACTCTATGTAGGACAGCTTTCAATTTCTGAGCCATGCTTTGGTTCCTGAAAGGAAGGGGCGTGCCAGCAGAAGTTTTTCGGCCATGGCCATCGTTGCACAGGTTTGGGTCCGAAGTGGGCGACAGTGGCAAGAGATCTCGGTGCCTGTCACAGAAACCGTGGGGCAACTGCAGGACTGCGCCGTGATGTGTGGCCTCCAGGGTGTGTCCTTTTCCGGAATCGGATCCGGGCCCCAGGAAGGGTTTTCCTTTTGCTTTCCCTAGCCAAACCCAAAAAAGGATTCCCTCAAAGACACCAAGTCGGTGCACAGATGGCTGGCCTTCCTGGGTGATTGAACCGATGTCTCCAGGAACGCCTGTCGAGAGCGATGCCTTTGAATGATTTGCATCAGTGCGAGGCGACGGCTGTTGTGTTCTTCTGGCATTCTGCGAAGGTCTCCTCTCTTGGTGGTTCCCAGCCATCCGGTTTTTTAGGTTGCAGGGGTTTTTACCTGGTTTGGTGGGTGTGTTTCCATTTAACCCACTGGTTGCGCTTTGCTTCTGAAAAAACGGCCACGGCGTTTTCCAGCAAGCCAATCATGTGTAAGAGTTGATCGTCCGGAGCAAAAGCAGTGGCTGCCTTTGCCAGGGTGAAGTTTCGTTCCACCCTCCGCAGATTCGAGTCTGGTCCAACCTGGTCATTGCCTCAGATGCGGGTGGCCGGGTGCCGGATTGTTGGTAAACAGCTCTTCCGATTTCAGGTGTTCCTCTCTGCCCGGCCACATGCTTACAAGGCGCAGTCGGCAGCCACAGCGCAAGAGTGCTTGGGGCCGGAGAGGAAGCAAGTACCTTTAGATGCGTTTGGAGAGAAATCGTCAGCACCTCCCGGACCTCCCCTTGTTGCTTTTGTCAAGGGATGGCTTGTGCAGACAGTGTTGGCCACCTTACTCACCTCAGATATCTCTTTGCAAGGGTTTGATGTGCTTGCTAGCTGCTCCCAGAACCCAGAGCCTTGCCTCGCATTCAGGACTACCTGGAGAGCAAGTCTTATCAACTCTTTCAAAAGCTCCGGAAGAGCGGGAAGATGCGACTTGGCGCAACGTCGCGTTTTTCAGTTTTCTTTAATTTCCTGCGCGATCTTCCTGTGGCCTGCGATCCCCCCAGCCAAGCTTCGTGTTCGCGAGACACTGTGGATGCCTAGCCGGTGTTGGGGCACGTGTGTTGTCCCCTGCAAAGCTGCCGGGCGTCGTGGGTGATTGCCTGCAAAGCTGCCGCTGGGGTTCTGAGCCGTTTGGCTCAACGGCTTGCGGCCCATGGCACTTTCCAAGCCAGCGCCCGTGCCTGCGCGGCATGAGGAAGTGTTCAACTTTGCCCTGGCGCAGGCGCCTCGCCATGAAGCGGCAACTGCGATGCCTTGCATTTGGAGTGTAGGACCGTAGGCTGTGCCGACATTGGCGCCCTTGCAGGCTTCCACCACCTGATTGATGTTATAAGTGCATGTGCAAAAGCATCGTGTGCTTTTGCTTCTTACCCAATGGTGAGGTGGATGTTCGGCTGGGCCCAGAGCTGCGCAGCTATGCGCTGCGCAGCGTGGGAGCCTGGATAGATGTTTACGACTGTGGCATGGAGCTGCTAGACATGGGTCTTTGCATCTTGGCTGCACTCGCGAGCTTGTGCCACCCGACGAAAGATTCGTCTTTCGAATCCGCAGGTTGGATTCGCGATGATCCAGATGAAGGCTCACAGGCTGAAGAGCTTGCAGTTGCCAAGGTGCGCCATGCCATGTGCCAATGGGTGTGTATTCAAAATAGGGGCTCGAATCTTGGGGCGATTCATGGCAAAAAAGTCCCTCCAGATTGATGAATGGACGGGTTTTCCTTGGTTTGCATGGAAACCAACCCCAAAAAGGGTACACTCCCTCAGACTAACATGGAAGCTCCCAGAGGGCCGCTGTTAATGGAACCAAGTCTTCCAAAGTAGTCCTGGGAGCTTCCATGTTAGTCTGAGGGAGATCTTCCACTCGCGGAGGGGTGCCCGCCTGGAAACAGCCGAATTCAGGCGCCTGAATCGCTGCAGCTGGCCGGTCGGGAGTTGCGCGGCAGACGAGAGTGTGCTAGGCTGTGCTGAAGAATGGGCTTGGGGGCTAGGTTTCGAGGAATGCGAGCTCGAGGTTGGAAGTGGTTGCTATATTGCAAGTTCACTTTCTATGGGTGTAGGTCAGGCATTGGCTTTTGGTGGTCCGTGTATGTTTTGTTTCCTTCTTTTTTCCTTTTTTGATATCTACTCACATGATGTATGGAGTTGGCATGTTGTTCAATATGTCACAGGCGAAATCCATTTGGATTTGGCTGAGGCTGCTATGCCTCACCGGCTTCTCCTCGGCCCCGCGGCACGTTGAAAAGGAATGGGTCTGATAGGCTCAATATGGCGCATCCGGTAGGTCGCAGGTTGGTCAGAGGTTGGCATTGGCGCTTTTTTCATTGCGATGCCGGCATCGAATGCCGGAATGCGCCTGGTTGCAAGGTTTGCTCGATGCCGAGTCATTTGCACATGCTGCAATATGCGAGCTCGCAGCTCAGAGCGCGGGGCTGACAGTGCGGATGCCGCCTGAATTCAGGTGCCAACTTGGGAGGCTTCACCGTGGTTACCTTCTGCATGCGGCTTGGTCGGCCATGTCCCAACAGGTCGTGAGCAAGCTAGTTCTCATGTCATGGTGTGAATGGTAAGTAGTCAGATACGTGCGCGGTTTTCCCGTTTTTTCACGCCTGCGACTTTTGCTGGGGGCCAAGGAGTGCGGTGGCTGCGGTGGCGCTCACGTTGTGCACACCTGTGATCCTTCACAAATATCCGGAGGTGAGGCGGCGAACCACGTTCCGAGTCCGGGGCCAAGAGCCGAGCTAACGACTCCCGGTCCGAGTTCAATTTTGGCTGTGGGTCAAAACCCATGGGATCCCATGTTGGTTGGCTTAGGTGAATTCACCACCCATGTTAGAACCTATTTTTGTGGGGATGGGGATGTTCACTGAGGGTACGATTTGGATTTTGACACATGGTCATATTCAGCTTTCCCCCTAGTTCATCGTTTGGATTGGTGGTTTGATTGGATCTTGTGGATGGGAAGCCACCTCCCAACCGCCAAACTACCGGGCTCCAAAGCATGAAGTAGAGGGAAGCTGAAATGGTGTGGTGGTTTAGGAGGTGTCTCTCCATGCTTAGGCCATTGCAGCTGCTACCTCCATAGCTGCCGTGGGCCAGGCCGAAAGGAACACATATGAAGCCCCCCTCTTGCAGGACCAGAACATGTTCTGGGCCTACCTCCGCTGTCAAGAGTGGTTTCGATCCCCATTTTCTTTGGTTTTTCCTGCTAGTGTAGCTTTGAGGCACTTTGGTGCATGAGTGGCAGCGTTCAACAGAACTCTACTTGCCGGCATACAAGAAAGTGTTTGCTTCTTGTTTGGTGGTGGTGTGATCGAACAGAAGGGACCGTAAGTGCCACAAGTGATGTAACATTGGCAGACGTAAGTGTGCCCTGCCATACAGATGTTGTGCTGGCGCATGTCGCGTGTGGCAATGCATGCCGGCTGAACTTTCCGCTCGCCCTCTCAAACATATGCGCAGTGAAGGGGAGGCTCGGAGGTGGCAAGCTCTTTGACGGTCTCTTGTGAGTTGTGCGTTTCGTGTGCCTTTGCAGGTTCTTTTCATAGTTCTCGCCAACAGCACCTCCCTCGTGGGGTTCCACATCTTGCCGGATGTCACGGTCAGCCAGTTCTTCCAGCCGATGCGCGCCCCTGAGAACTTCAAGAGTTGAGATCCAGGTTGCATGGGTTGCTTCAGGCAGAACCCCTTCGTGGTGCTGCACCTCTTTATGCCTCGAGCTCAGTTTCTCGAGCGGAGCTGGGCCCTGAGAAGCGGGAAGTCGTGAAGTGTGCGAGGCATTCCCTGGAGCTCCCGTTGATGAGTGGGGCACTTGGCCGCCTCGCTGGCAGGTCCTGGGCAGAATCTCTGGCTCGAATTGCGGTCGATGTCGATGGCATCGACCCGAGCCGGCCACCGCGGGTTTTGTTCAAGCACAAAAGTGCAAGGAAGCCAGCGAGACCCACATGGGCATGGGCGTGTATAGCGTCTGCGTCGTGGTCTCCGCCGCGATCTCGCAGGCCTCGCAACTCGCAACCTCCGGTGGCCGGTTTTGCCATCGCTTCGCCGGTGCGCGGTGCGCATGCGGAGGCGTGGCTGCGGTGGCCTCTGTTGATCATCGGCGCCATGGTCCTGAAGCGGTCCTTGGCAGACATTGAGGCAGTGATCGACCAACAAGTTTGGGTGACAAAAAACGATAAACAAAAAGAGCTGACTGCGCTTCAGAAGCCTTTTTTTTGGGTGCAGGCTCTCCCAGACCAAGTCGATAACTTGGCTCCTCACAGCCATTCTGCCCGGGTATGGAAAGAAAGGCACCGGATATGCTTCTCGGCACATGGCTCGGCATGCTCTGTCTGGCAAATTCGCGCGCTTGCTTTTGCCGCTAAGGTAGTGGCCTGTTTGTGTGTTTGGCATCTTTGCACCCGACGGTGCAGTCGATGGGCTACGTGCAAGTGTTATCCCCAGGAAGTCAGCAATGCATTTTCGCAGGGGTGGCGGCTTGGCTGCAGTCTAGCAAAGTTTGATATGGCAGTGGGTCAAATATATGTACGCAAAATGGGAACCCTGGTAAATGGAAGCCTGGATTAAACCTGTGGTCCCATGGTTTAATTTTGACCCACAGCCATATCTCTTCGTGAGCAGCTGGGGAATTTCGAAGTCAATGGGCTCCTGCAAGGATCTCATGCTGACTGCTGGGCTTGGTTTTATTGCGCTGCGGGACGCCAATCACGTGGTCAAAGCGGAGGTGTATTTGATGGCGAAGGCACGCACAGACACACCAGCGGATGCAAAGTTCAGCCTTTTGCAGTCCCAGCTCGGGAGCAAACCTCAGAAAGTGGTGAATCTTAAGTGAGATTCAGTCGAACATTTTTTGCGAATCAATGTAGCACCTTCGGGAGAAACACCCACTTTGGCTGCCATACGAGAGGTCTCAGTGCAGCACTCTTGGCCAGTTTGTCGCATCAAGAGCTCCAACAAGCGCTTACATCTTGGGAGTCCATGTTTGACCAATTTGCGCAACCGTGACTACAAGAAATGACGTATACATTCTACAAAGGTACCATGAAGACAAAACTGGCCCCATAGTCTCCCACCAAACATGAAGAGTCCCGAATGCCGATCCTGAAGCACTTCTCACTCATTTCAAAGGCCGAGCCAGGAGACCAAGCTTGCGAGCCAACGCAGACATAGGCGGTAAGCTCACAACTGCGCCAGATGCCAGCCCAAAGATAGTATGCCAGTCGCGCCGGCCCCCAGCCTGCAACGCCAGTGGGCCGTAGGCCTTGGCCCAGTGGGGGGGGGTCTGTGGGGCGTGCCAGGAGCAAATGGAAGGCGACGCCCGCGTGCCTCGCAGAGCCCGGCGTGAGGGTGACACGCGTTGAGAAGCAGGTCGCCGGGCGCCGGAGGTCGCCGGAGGGCGCAATGGAAATAATTGGCGCGGGGAATGAATGGGATTTGGCGGAAGCAGATCAGGCGAAGTTCTCCGCAGAGAACTCAGATTGGCTTCTGGCCATGGGTTTCACTAGACATCGTGCGATGGGGGACGCTTGGTTGGCGAACCTTTTCTGTCTTGAAGCCCTTCTGATTCCACTGCGCGTTCTCTCGGTTTGCAAGCCTGTCGCCCCCATGCCCAGCTTCTTGCAATTAGCGTGTGAGGGCGGCTCCATGTTGTGGAGGCCAGCCCAATTGGAATTTTCCGAGTATGCCAAGTGGAGCAAAGGCAGCCCCCGCGCAGCCGTGGAGTGGGGCTGCCTTTAATCGGTTTGTGTAGGGCCACTTATGGAGGGCAGAGCGTAGGCCTCCGGTATCCAGCGCGCTGGAGAAAGGGTGCGGTTGCACAGGAGGCAGTGGCCCGGCTGAGCGGCCAAGCTTTCCCCTAACAATCATAGAAGCTCACAGAGGGGTTTTGGAAGACTTCTTCTCGTTGTGGAGAAGCTGAAGCCCCTGAACCCACTGAACCCATCATTCGTAGGGTACCAGGATTCATGTGAGCATTGAAAACTGGCGCTTGAACCTTTCGTGCTCATCCCAGGCATTGTATGCCAACCCTCTTGGCGGGCAAGCTGAAGTCTTCGAGCTCGGCCTTTTGCTTCGGCCTGGCCCGGGCTCCAAGGCTCCCAGGCCGGCGCCCCTCCGGCGCAGGCGCCCAGGCCCATCGCACGCGTCTGTCTGGAAACCTTGCTTGGGCATGAATGGTTTCTTTTTGGAGGGAGCGTCGGAGACCGCTCAAAGCGGTGCCAGCCAGTTGAGGTGTGGAAGTGACATGTCATGTGTGAGGTCTTGTTGTACCCACGACTGCTTCTTGCCGTGGGGCTCCTTCATTTCTGCATGTGGTGGGGAAGCACCTTGGCCTATTAGCATGGGCATGGCTGGCATGCATAGCGATGAGCGTTGTCGTGGCCTAGGTTGGGGGCATCTGCCGATGCTCTTCCCTTATCCATTCCTGGCCGTCTTTCTGGGGATCATCTATCTCTTCTATGACTCCCGCAACATGAGGAGACTTGTATGGCCACAGTGCGCAATCAATTGTTGACGAGGCCGAGAGAGAAACGGCAAATGAGGCTTGCTTGCGATTGTTCCCACGGTCTCTCCAGCCAAGGAAGGAAAGTCGTCCTTGCGTGGCTTGGTCGAAGCTTTCTTTCGGCCTTGCAATCTTGAGATGTCATTCGACGTTGCATTGAGACTCACGCGACTGGGGCGAGGTGTTTGTCTTGCAGGAGACATGGAAAGAATGCAGCTCTAGGTTGCTGATCCCTCGTGAAACCGTGTTACCGTATGGGACCCCCTGGCACGCCAGGGTACACTTGACTCAGGACGTTTGGAGGTCAGTCGGGGAAGATAAGATCAAGACCTTCGTCGAATACCGCCAACTGTACAGCGAAGCCTGGAATGCATGGACCAATGGAAGGGCCGGCATTGAGCCAAGCAACGCTTTCAACTCAGGAGTGTGCAACCGTCTTCTTTGGTGACAACGGTCAGGGGGACCTGATGTGCGCAGAGCGGCTCACGGGTATGAATGTGACAAATGGTGTGCCTCGGCTTACCTGGTTAGTTGAAGTCCAGGGCTTCCGCTGCAGTTCCTGTCAGCTCGTTCCTTCTGCAGCCATTTGTCACAGCCGATGCGCGACACATTCGTGTTGTAGCTTACTGCGGCTGTGAGCGGTCATTATGTGTGTGTGACACTCGGGCATGGCACGAAGCTAGGGTTTACCACAAAGGCGAGGAAACGTACAACGAGGAAAGTGCAGAAGAGCTACTGCCGGTTGAAAACAAAATGGCTCCAGGAAGATAAAAGCCAGGATGCCTTCAGTCGGCCCAGGACTATGGCGTGGGAGGTGTGGTTTCATACGCCTTCATCCACCAGGCCGCTTCACTCTTGGAATCCAAGCATGTAGGAAAGGCTTGGCTCGGCTCCCGTGCGTAGGAATGCAAGAATGGGGAGGTTGCATGCGCTGCTTTCAGAACATCTCCAATGCCAGGTCCAACCATTGGAGGATCAGCTCACCGAGAATAAGGTTTTTAGCAAAGACTCGGCGGACGAGGAAGGGTTGGCCAGACCTCAAGCCAGCATGTCATGCTTCACATTGCGTCGAGGTTTTGAAAGTTCTTGCGCCATGCGAGGTGTACCAAGACAGACATATTTACTTATTCCGCGCGGCCCTGAGAGAACTATGCGGCATGGCGTTTCGTCGCCTTCGATGCCTTCGAGAGAAATGTGGGTGGAGGCACCTATGTGGGAGCAGCGGTCCACGCCTACAAACTGGGATTGATTTCTCAGGAGGCCGGGGGTTTTGGCGCCTGGGGAGGGGGTTGGATGGAAATTCCGCTGCTCACCTTGCTGGCAGGGCCTCTGGCGTGTCAGCACAGCAGCCGTTCAGGACCTGGGATGGCTTGGAAGGTGCATAATCGCTCGCGGAATTCAGGTTTTTCCAAATATTGAAGAGTAGCAACATGGGAAGCAATGTGGCATGGCGAGTGGTGATGGACAGATGCGAAGAGAACGCTAGGACATGGTTCGGCTGCGGATTCGTCATCTGTCTGACACATCGCAAAAGGAGGAGGCATGGGCAGGCGCGCGGGTCACGCGTTTCTAGGTTGTTGTTTTTTTTTCTTTCGGTGGGGGGGCAAGCGGGGGGCTACTGGGCTGAGCTGGGGCTGGCCAACTTCGGCCCTGGGGCTGTGGTACCTTTGGCCCGCCCGCATGCATGTTGGGTAGTGCGGGGCGCATGTCGATATTTCTGGGGCGGACCATGTTAGGTCGCCCTGCCAACATCTTGAGATATTTGTTGTGCCACGCACGCTGCAGATGTCATATTTTGTTGTTTTATATTTGAGCTTTGGAGTTTTAGTGCCGTTTTGTGCTCCCTGGGTTGCAAGTTTGAGACATATACTGCATTCTCAATGCCTGTTGCCTGAGACGTGGTAAACGAGATGAACAAGGACGTCACCCGCGCGATTCTCAGAGTGAACATTCTTCGGGCACGGTCTGCTACAGAATGTGGCATGGGACGCGGCGTTGGCTGACAAAACAAAGCAGCCATGCGCCAGACTGTCACGCGTTATGGACACTGCAATCTTGCGACTGCTAGCGGCAGAGACGCTTGTGCGTCCTGACGCGTTCATTCTCAGGTGTCAATGAACTTCTTCCTGAAGCCATGGAGAAGATTGCGGCCTGGACTGATTGCTGGAACAAACCATTACACACCAACCCTGCCCCTGCATCAGTGGAGGGTACCCTTCCGTCCCTTGGTCTCCGAAACACTGGCCCCGCATAGGAATTGTCACTTTTTCACAAGTTGGGGCAGATCGCACATGTTGGCCGCCTTCTGTTGTTTCCGGAAAACGCCCACTGTGCTATGTGGTTCGCCCGCCCAGAAGATGGTGCCCAACCCTTCGGAGAAAGACTTCGACAAAGAGTGCCTCAAGGAGGAGGAGATCGCAGAAAGCTCCGAGACGACACTGGGCTGCAGCCCGTGCACAGGAAGTTTGGTCGATGTCATGTGCTTGGCCGTGATATCCCATGTTGCGTAAGCATGATGATCCAGTTGTGTTTTTCTCCTTTTCTTGCCGGCTTGGTGAAGCCCGAATGCCCATGCCGGTTGAGAGCGGTTCGGTTCTCGCTGACCTGGCAACCGCAGGGCCCTCCCGCAGCTCACAGATTGGGTTCGGGTTCCTTGGGCGTTGCGGCGTTGCCAGGAAGGAGGCGGCGAAGGAAAGCGAGGCGGCCGGGAGCCGTGCTGGCTTGCCATGTTCGCCATGCCATGGTTCAAAACCTATGCAGCCTATGCATTTCTCCATGGGGCGGAGCACCCATGTGCCACCTATTTTGATGTTCACCAGGGGTTTCTGGGTTTGGACCACCACAGCCATGAGCTATGAGACCGCGAGCCCGGTTGAGGCGGAGCGGGCCGAGTCTGGCGACGAGACCAAGTCTGAGCGCTCGACATCTGAAGAAATGATCCGCACGAAGTCAGACGAGGAGAACGCGCTGGAGGACTGCGGGGCCGGAAGGCACGTGGTTAATCCATATTCCCTTTGGCCCCGGAATGACCATGGTAGCTCTTCCCATTTAGTGGGAAGTATTATTTTGTTTTAGTCCTAGTTAAAGGACCTTTAGATCAACCCCACATGTTTTTGATGTCCGTCGCGTGCCCTGAAGAGCTTGGTGGCTGCTTCTCTTGAGCTTGGTTTTTTCTTCTTCGGCGCTTTGGCGCGGAGGACCCTCCCAGCTCCAGCCAGAAGAAATCCTGGATCGATCAGAAGCCGCTGGGTTCACGTTTGCCGTCTGCTGCGAAAATCTCTCTGCGCATCAGCGCATCTGTCAGCTTTTTGCTCTCGTTTCTCCGAGGATCGCAGCGGCCAAGGCCAAGGTTTATCAGGCTGTGCAGAAGGATGTCCCCACTCAGAAGGAGTGCAAAGCGGCCAGGCTTGGCTGCAGCTTGGCCGATCTGGGATTCGTCTTTTTTCGGTCGCTGTGCATCGGCACCGGTATTCATTGAATATGGGCGTCTCTCCAAATTGAGGACCCTCCAGGTGGTTTCCTGTTGGGCTTCCCTTGAAAGCCCATCCAAAAAGGACTCCGATTCATGCCAAGGTTTGAGCGACTTCTCCTTCGGAACTACAGTGCCGCATGTTCCGCCTATCGGCCGATGCTGAGCTTGGCGACTGCATGCCCATCCCTTTAGAAACGCAGCATTTTAGAAGAAGCGAGCGTGCCCCTAGCATGAAATATGTTTCAGCTGTTGTGGAAAAACATGCGAAAGATCAGACAAGGTTTGTTTTCAACTCGTTTGCGAACGTCACTCTTGGGGGCGCGCTCGTCACTGCGACTAAAGTGATGCTGTCCATACGTGCTCCTTAAAGGCTCTCCCTGCAGAAGGCTGCAACGGAGGCCCTTGCAAGTGAAGTCACGTGGGCTGCAGTGCGGAAGGGACGGGAAGGTTGGCCCGGCCGGACATACTTGCAGCAGCGGACATGCTGTAGCGGTGCCTTGTCATTCTCCCCCTGACTGCCCCAGCCTGCCAATAGCTAAGGGGGCCGCCCCCTATTTTCCAGTCCGAGCACGGCGCTGCCTGGCATCGGTCGAATTTCAATGCGACCGCGCGCTGACTTTCAACGGATGCTGCACCCTCGTGCGGGGACGCTGTGCCGGAAGCATGGAATTGGCCCACTTTTTTTTCACAAGTGTCCTGGCGAGGGGTTTCACCAGAAAAATGGAGGCATTTAAAGGGTGTCTCGGCGGCAAGCATTGCTGCCAAGTAAGTAGGATGCAAAGGTCGAACGCGCCCTGGCAACACCCAACGGCTACTCTTACACTGTTAGCACAGCCATAGGTATATCAGCGCCCTTCGCAGCCGAAGAGTTCGCGGAAAAATCGGTCACAATGTGCCGTCAATTGCCGGTTGGACAGTGCTTTGGCTCTCTTTTGGGACCACTGGGTCGAAAACTGCGCGAAGCTCTACAGCGAAAGCTGCTGACAAAAGGGAGCGTTTGCAAGAAGTACTCCATCGTGCATCGGAGCACGCTTTTCCAGCTTTTCTGGGCTGGCACGCTCGTCTCAGAGTCTCAGATCGCCGGTGTTCTGGGGCCTTTGGGAACTTTGTCAGGTGTTTGCATGCCGACTCTACTGGTTGATGCTCACGGTTGTGGAATTGGGAGGCGCATTTGTTGTAGTTCCTGCTTTTGGAGTTTGCTAGTGCTATTGAACTCTCTGAGTGTGTGCGTGTGTGAGCGTGCTTGTGTGTCTCGAAGTCTCGGATGCTGTAGCAGGATGCCCACACAGTACTACTTGCTATTTTGCAAAGCTGTTAACAAGCTGAACATCTTTCGTTGGTACGCGTGGAATTCGCCAAGCAATGCATTGTTAGATGGCTTATAACTGACTAGTTGCATGTGAAGCTGCAATAAGTCTGGCGAACATGTATGGCAACTTGTAAACACATGGTAGTTGCTACACACGTGTCATATTAGACAAATGTTTTTTTGAGCATTAGATCTGTGGTTTGTTTTTGTTTGCCGCCTGTGGTAAACCAAGCTTCTGTGCGCTTGTGTGCGCCGTGTCATCCTTTCTATATGGAGCATTCCTTTCAACTAGTGGTTTTCTTTTTTTGGGGGGTCCTTTTTAATGATTATGATGGCCGTTGAAAAACAACAATGTGTTTGCACACGGCGTAGCTATGGCATGGTGTGTGTTTGGAGCTGCTATCTTTTTTCGCACGTTCCCACGGTGTCTCAGGCTTGGCTTATGGCACGCTGCGACTGTTTCTTTCTTTTGTTCGACCCCTGGTACCCGTCATCTTTGCCTGGAGGGTTTCACCCTTTTGCCGCGCCCCATGTGCTCCTCGCAGCTGGCCCTGCTGGCCGCCTCCGCGAGCGCGGCGAGCGCTGCGCTGCTGCCGAGCGCATGCCAGGAGCATGGGGTGTGCCTTGAAGGGTCCGAGCGTCGACCCTACGGTGGCGTCCGGGCTATGGGCAGGTCGTAGCCTGAGTGCTAAGATCGGGCATTTTTCCCATGGGCATCAGCAGCATAATCTAGCAGAGCATCGTGCAGCATAATTTGCTCAAGGTTCCAAAGGCATTTTAAACGACTGGCTTGTCAGGCCGCTCGCTTTGCGTGCAGGAACAGTAGTGCGGCATTGGAAGTTCTGTGAAGCCAGAGAGAGAGAGAAGCGCTGGACCAGAGCACTAAGCACTATCAACCACTGGTCGCAGGCCCCATGACGTTCCCAAGCTCTTTTCCAGCGGCCGGTGGCTGACCGGCAGACCATTTTTCAATGATTCACGAGATCCGCCGTTTCGGCAATCTCATGTTCCCCTCCCAGCAATCAACAGCCGGAACCCTTCGAGGTTCTGGGGAGCGGTCCAAACCGTTTGGACCAGGTTCCTTTTAAAGGGACCCCTGTCCCCGAACGTCGAACGGCTCCGGCTCTCCATTGATGGGAGGGCCACTCCTCGTCTTTTGTCGCCAAACTTCACGGCATTTCGCGGTTTCCGCCGCCAGGACTTGACCGGGGCGCTGCGGGGTTGCGCGCAGCGGGCGCGCGAGCTGGCGCCGCTGCTTGCTGGCCAGGCTCGGATGCATTGTGGGTGCCCCGTTTGGGTTGTTTGAAAGGGAATCCCAAAAGGAAAAGGAAAACCGCTCATTTTTTGGGGTACCCCCAAAACACTCCGGTCACTCTCTTGGGATCTTTTCGGCAGGCTTTGTGCGTTTGCGAGACTTGTGAGCAGTGGCATATGTCATGAGCCCAGGACAATCACGGCAGCCCTTGGGCTGAGCACCTTGCCCGGACCAGATGCTGACCGTTACTCTGCCTTTCAAGCCACCGTACATGCATTGGACCGCGCAAGAAAAGAAACAGGCTAGCTTGTGAGGTTGCAGAAGTTTCCAGAGGTTGCAACGACAAAGGGATTTGGCTGTGGGTCAAACCCAATGGTACCATTTTGGGGTGGGTGCACCATTTGACCCATGGCCATTTGTGTGCTTCGCTGTTCAGCTTTCTGCTGGGCCTGGATGATGCAGAGCTCTGCACGGCGGAGGCCAAGGGCCTGGCAGGAGCCCGGAGCAGCGCTCGCCGACGACTCGCTCGCGCTCGCCCCGACTCGACTCGGCAGGATTGGCGTCGCTTCCGCCGTCCATGCGCACGTTTATTGAAGAGCTGCAGAGCTATGAGCACATGTTGCTTGCCAAAAAACGCTTGCTGGCCTCCTTGGCTGAAAGTATTCAATTGCCCCTGATGTCAGTCACACATTTTATGGGCCTGGGTCCCTTTCAGGCACATCAAGGTGCAGAGCCTGTAGCATCTTGTAGGCAAGCCGCTGATGCCAAGGTGGCAGAGATCCTGTTGGTAGGGTGTTCGCGGGCATCATTTCTTCCGGCACAGGTTCAACTTTCATGCATTACAAGTAAGGGACTCGTTGGCAGACGCTGTGGCTCAGGCTGCTGCCAGCACCCAGGCTGAGATCTCGCAGCTTGGCTGCGACTTTTTTGGTCGGCTTTTGGTACCTTGAACCCGCTTTGATTGAAGTAAGTTGCGTGTCTGACGCATCTGGACTCTAGACATCCTGCACACTTTTAACCCCCAGCAGCGGCAGAAGCACCGAACTCAGGAGTTGAGGCGTTCCGCATGAAGCAAAGAAAAGCAGAGCATCTCGGCCAGTCTTCTTGGAATGCGCTGCTAGCTTTTTTGCGCCTGGATACATTCTTCATCATTTTGCATCAGGCTCGCCAGGCCGGTCGGTAGCATGAAACATGATCTCACTTTGAGTGGCTGGATACATGGCAGGGCTGTCCGGCGGTTTAAGTGGCTGCGTTGCATTCGAGATGCGTGAATTGTGTTCGTTCTGGCCAAGGCAAGTGGCGGCATGCTTGGAGGCTGCCTCAAGCACAGCGCTTGCGAGCTTGAGATGCTGAGATGGGCGCTTCCCGGGGTTTGACAGGTCTTGGAGAGCCACTTTGATCTCCAAGCCGTGCGGCGGGTAGTCGACCTGGGCGCAGGGCGCGGTGCGCTCACGCGGGCTTTGGCCGGTGCCCCTCGCCCCAAACGCGCGGAGCGCTCTCGGCGTGTGCGTCTTCGCCTTGTTGGCAGCTTAGGCGCTGCAGGTGCCGGGCCTGGGCTTGGACTTGGACGAGGCGCAGCTGGAGGCGGCGCGCCCTGGCCGCCCTGTAAAGGCGACGTGCGGCACCGTCCGGGTGCGAAGTTTCTTGAGGCGTGCGGTGGAGGTAGAGGACCTGGATGTCAGCTTCCGCTGCTGCGATGTGCGCAAAGCGGAGCTAACTGCGTTGCTGCGGCCCGGTGATGTGGTGGTAGGTGGGGTGCTCAGTTGGCTCGGGCATGTGAGATTGGTGATGTGAGAACTGGCTGGGCTGTCGTCGCATGCGTGACAAGGCCTGCACCCTTGCGGAAGCTTGGGGGACCACACCATCCAGGCTCATTGTGCGCCAAAGCAACGCCCCTGGCAAAGTGGCAATGCAGGCGCTCGCGGAGGCTTCCGTGCGACCAAGGCCCAGCCTGCTACTTGCACCGTGGCTGCACTGGGGACAAGTCGGCAGGTGCTTGCGCCTGACGACTTGTCATTCCTTCTCCTCGTTTGATATGAGTGGCATCTTGCAGCACTTGTGCCCCAATCATGACCTATAGAGGTGTCTTGCTGCTTGCATGGTCGCGGCTGGGCGTCTGTGCCAAATCCGCGACCGGCCATATCCAAGCTGGGGCAGGCGGGCATTTTTTGAACCGCTTTCAAGTCCAGAAGTCAAACCTGAATCTTGCAGAGAGAGATGCTGGAACTTTGGCATGGGTCATGCGGCCTGACCTCGGTGCTGCCTTAGATGCTGCAACTGGTGCTGCCCCGCCCGGCCCTGCAGCGATCCAACTTGTGGCGCCTGGACGCCTCGGGTGGCAAAGGCGCGGCATGGAAGCGGCTGGCGCTACGCCGCGCCGTGGCCGAAAGGCGCAGGATGAGGAACCTGCGGCGGGACGGCTCCAAGGAAACATGGCGACAGTTGCAGCCTCTAGAGTCAAGAGTAGTCGGTATTTCCTGCCAGTTATCGACGATCTTGCGCCGGTTGAGCCTTTGGGCACCAGTTCAGCGTTTTTGAAGTCGCTGGCTGAATCCTTTTGCTGCAGTGAGTTGAAATGGTATCCAGCCATACATCCTCCCTAGAAACGACGACTACCACACAGGAAAGCCCAAACCAAGCCGACCCAAACAAAGCTGCGCCAAGATCGTTCCATAGGTTTCCAGTGAACCTGCAGGGGTCACTGGATTTCCCCTTCAACGGCTGCAATCTACCGGCGGTTTCCACTAAAACTGCCACTTTCGGAGGTTCAAACGAGCGGGGAATGGAGGAAACCCTGCCCTGCGCTGGGTTCCGCGTTCCGACGCCGAGGATTGCTTCAGCTCCGGGGCCGCGAGTGCGGCCGCGGCCCCTTCGCCGTCTCGCTGCGGGGGCTCGGCGCGGGATCCTGGGCAGAGATGGCCGAGCAGGCCATGGCCCGGCAAGGCGCGGAAACCGCGGAAACGGCAGGGGGCCAATCAAACATGGGCGAACCCCAAGAGGGTTGCCCTGGTAAATGAAATGCAAGGACGAAAGCCGGTTCATATCCTGGCGGTTGATGTTTGACCAGCTTCGAACTTTTGCGATTTTTGTGCAAGGCTCCTTGTAGCGTGTTGATCCGTTTCAACGCGCCGTCGCAACATATCTTGTATCTTGCGGTGTCGCTGAGGCCTAGCCCCTCCTAGTGCTGCAGAAGTGACAGACAGCGCCAACTCCGCAGATCAAGCTTTGCCCGGTTGGCGGCGTTTGCAGCAGCTTGGCATTGACTGGACAGAGAAGACTTCTGGGTGTTTCGGGCTCGCGGTTCTCTCTCACTCTCTCGCGACCTATCCTTCTGTCTCTTCTTTGGTCTTGGAAGCCCTTCCACAGACTGGAGACGGATGCATCCGCCTGGCCGTTCAGGCTCAATGTTTTAGCTTGGCAGAGGTGCCACATGTCAGGGTCACGGCAAGCTGCACGGTGAGCGTACATCAGAGTTTCAAGACAATATTTCAGCAAGCACGTGCACATATGCACCACTCGGTTTGTACCAGACTGTTGGACTAGGTCAAGATCACAGAAAGCCTCATGGGCGATGAAGGCACCGGCGCCGCCGGCTTTCTTCAGCGCATTGGTTCCAAGCCCGCCGGGTGCTTCTCACTCGCATGCGCGAGGCGGGAAGCCCGAGCGAGGCAAGCACGCGGTCCGCTTGGCGCCTTTGGGCGACGCCCCGTCGCCCCGCGAAGCAGCCCGCGAAGCGGGCTCGATGTCGCCCCGGGCGCCCCGAACCCGACTTCAGGAGGCTGAGGGAACCGCTCTGCAGGAATTGCGGCGGCACCGGGCCAAGCGAATAAGCAAGTCGGAAGACGACGACGAGCAGACCAAAAAGTCGCGATCTGTGAAGAGCATTGAGCTGAACTCAGATTCCAGCCTAGATTCGCGGCTGGTTTTTGTCAAGAAGCCCTCCATGGAGGCTGAGGCGCAAGCACGGAAGAGGGCTTCAGCCTCGTCCTTTTTCCCCAAGGCGCCGGGGAAATCCCGGCAGGAGCGCCTGATGCAGGGCTGCGACAAGGTGAGAAAGAAAACGAGCAGACGGCGCCACTCCAGTAGCTCCACACTGAGGGGCAGTGATCTCAGCCCATCGAGTCACTTCAGCGACCCTGACACGGAGCTGGACGTGGAACTGCCAGAGCTGCCAGAGCCAAAGTTGGCGCCTCCCGCCATTGCTTCTGCCCCCTGGCAACTGCAGCGGCGCAAGCTGCAAGCAGCACTGGAGTCACTTGGTGCGCATGCCATGTTCATGAAAGCAAGCTCATGCCACCTTGCCCTTTCTCGAAAGTTGAGCCTGCCATGGATGATGCTTGAATTTTCCTTTGATAATTCTTGGCCTTTGCCCTGAGGAAGGTGCAGTGTGGTGTGCAGCCGGAGGCACCATCCCAGGAGCTAGTTGAGCAGGCAGAGACTTTGCAGAAAGCAGTGCGCGAGAAGAGCCTTGACGGCCGCGCTGCGCTGGCATATTGCCTGGCTGCTTGGCAGAAATCTTTGGTCAAGAGCCCGTTGGTCCTCAGGATGTTTTGCAGGTGGTGTCTATGTTGTTTGAGGATTTGGAGCTGCATGCAAAGCTGTCTGTGAGCAAAGGTGTGGCTGACACCTTAAGACCTAGTCTCCCTTTTTGTATGTGACCCATTCCCCACGGGCCTTACAGCTGCAGCGGGCTAGAGTTTGTCGAGGGAGCCGTCATGCGAGTTTGTCGTGCAAAGGGAGTTCCATGTCAGGTTCAGAAGCTTGGCTCGTTGGACAATGCCTTCAAGTATTTGGACTGCTCACAGACTGGACGCTTTCCAAAGGTGACGTGGGAGACAGCCCTTCTTATCCTGCACCTCCAAGTTTTACAGCTTACAGGAGCAACCAAGCACGACATCTTTAAGGTGATGAGCGGCCAGAGCCAAGAGGTGAGCAGAGAAGGCTGGGATGAGTATTTTGCAGGCCTAGAGGACTTTGCAAGTCCCACATCGCGACCCAAACCAGCGATGTGTCGTGCAGATGTCCTCACGAGCAAGGGAGACACAGGTTCCTCCCAGGTTGCCAGCCAATTGCCACCCATGGACGGCTCAGTTTCAACGAGTGAGCCTGGCGCGCCAAGCACGCCCAGCGCACCCAGCGCGCCCAACGCGCCCCGCGCGCCCAGCGCTCCCAGCGCGCCGAGCGCGCCACGGGAGCCGGTGGAGCCTTCAGATGCTCACGGCAAGCCGCCGGATCCCTCCGGCGAGCCCTCAGCCAAGCCGACTGAGTCTGCGTCACCTCAGAAAGCCTCACGCTTCAAGAAAGCCGTGCGGGCAGTCGTGGCCGTGGAAAGGTTCGCCAAGAAAACGGAGGGCAGACAAACTTCGGAGGACAGCACTCCCAAGACTCCCAAACCGAAGCCAACACGCCGGCCAAGTGCGGCTAGGTTTGCCACTGGACCAGCAGATGTGGTGCCATTGGAAGATGATGACACGTTTCTGGCTCGGATTGCTGAGTCATTGGAAGAGCTGCCGCTTGATCGAGAGGTATTTGTGGAGTGCAGCTCCCGGCATCAGAAATCGGTGCTGATGGAGAAGGCCCGTGAGAAGAGCTACTCGGCCTCGGCCTTGCAATCCGGAGTCCTGGTGGTGAACGAAGGGGGGCAGGCCAGGCAGCTGCGGGAGAAGGTGAGCTCTTCCGCCGTGGGCTTCTCGCAGCTGCTGTGTCCGCAGACGCTTCAGCAGTTTGGCATGGCGCTGGTGGAAGAGGCCGGCCTCACGGTGCTGGGTTCCAAGCACAGAGCACCGGATCCCGGGAGCCACGAAGGTCACGAAGGCGGCTTTCTGATGGACGTGCTGAAAGACAAAGGCAGCCCCGAGGAGATTCAGCGTGCTGCTGAGGCTCGCGGCTCGCGGCTCGCGGGATGCCTTGGGATTTTCACCTCTAGCGTTTGCAAATTGGTGCTGGGTAGGCGCGCCAAAGCGCAACCAGCCAGCAAGCAACCCCGGAGTTTGGAGCACGCTGAGGGAGACATTTTAATGTGCGCTTGTCCCATCGGCTGATGTTTGTTTCCAATTGCTGGCGCATTGGTGAGTCAGTTGTGCGAGATAGGCTTTCATTTCGTTCGCCCCAAACTTGACCACATCCCTATCCCTGCCAGCCACCCTGAAAAAGGGGGGGTGGGGTGGTTCCAAGAAGTTTTTTTGTGGCAAGCCCTGGGCTTTTGGAGGCCTTCCTCGACAGCCTAGCGGAGGGGGAGGTGACGTCCTACGCCTTCGCGGCCACGTCGTTGTTCCGGGCCGCCCTGGTGCGGGCCGCGGTTGCCAAAGGTTTGGAGACCAGAAACTCCTCGGATGGGCACTTGCAGCTGGGGAGGCTCCACGTGTTTTCCGAGTCCGTGCAGCAAATCATCGACCATCTGCAGGAGAAACACGCGACTGCATTTTAGGAAAAAGACATGCTGGCTGGTTGAATTTTATTTCATAAGCCCGGAAGTCCTTAGAGTGTTTGCACGTTGCCTTGGACTTGCCAAACGTCAAAAGACGCCCTGAGAGGATGGTGAAGAGCACGACTTCGGAAGCCTGCTCCACGACTTGCAGAAGCAGGCCTGGGCCCCGCGCATGCGCATGCGCATGAGAGGACTGACCAGCCGTCTCCTGGTTTAGGTGGTACGGGAGAAGTCCAGTGCAGCGGACCTGGTCGTGACGGAGGACGAGTCCATGAAGATCCGGAGGGTGACGCCTTCGCCCGTGTTTGAAAAGACGTCGGCACTGGACGAGCTGCGGAGATTGACGGAGGCAGCTTTCTCGCAGCATCTTGGCCGGGCATTTCTTTGGCTTTCCGCGCGGCCCACAGGTTGTATCCCACATGACTAGGATGGATTTGGGCTGCAGGCAGGATGCCAGACAAGTCTTGTGTCAAAACATCCCGGGCGTGGGTCAATTCCGGAATTGAGGTATGCCACTGGGAGGTTGGGCCATCAGATCTTCCTCCGTCGCATTGACCTGCAACGACTTGCCTGCGACACTCGCGAGGGCAACTTGGCGTGGAATTTGCGCCACGTTGTTCCTGAGTTCCGCTCCTTACCCGCGGAATTTCCATGGTACGCTCCCACCAACGAACATATATAAGTGCACAAAGCCTGTCCCAAAGCCCCGGTATTTCCAAGAGGAAGGTCGTCTTTCCACCGAAAACCGAAGGCAATTCCAGGTTCTCCATGTGGGTACGGGTCAAAATTAAACCACCAGGATATGGACTGCAGGTTTTAGTCCTTGTTTCCATTTACTAGGGTTCCATTGGGGGAAAACACATTTTTGACCCACACCCATGTTTTTCGCGCTCCTTGGGCCCCCCCGCCCCTTGAACCGTCAGCCGTCAGGTTCAGAGCCCGACTTCCTGACGAAGCTGGACGAAGTCTTCGACGACACGCTGGAGCTCCAGCTGGACATCGTGGGGACGAAGTACGGCCTCTCCAAGGACGTCACCGTTGTCAAAACCAAACAGCAAACCGAAGCCCTTCTGGGGGAGCAAAAAAGACACTCTGGTCCTTTCGGGGCGATATGGCTGTGGTTGTCAAAACCGTTTTGGCCGCCCATTTTAGAACCTATTTTAGTGGTTGGAGTGGGATGTTCACTGGGGTACGATTTGGATTTTCAAAAGGTCCGGCGAACGTGGGATAGCCATTGGTTGGAAACTCCAACAAATGGATGATATTTTTCCACGAAAGGGGAAAAGTTACCCATGGTATTTTTAGGGGCCGACGGGAACATTGATCAACCCCCACCTGCGCCAAAAAATGTGACCGCAGGTGGAAGAAGTCGCGTTTGTTTCTGGAGCTTTGCCATCCAGCTTTGCCATTCGCTGAGTAAGTATGGTCCGTGCTTCATTGGTTTGCCTGTGTCAAATCACCGATAATTTTAGAAGACGGGCGTCTCAACAGCTCTGAACGGCGTACACCCAGACTGCACCGGCAGTGTTTCCCCCGATCAATGCCCCTGCTGCCAAGGTCGAGAGAGGTTCTCGATAGAAATCAATTTGGTGTTTGAACATTTTCCAGTGGTGAGGGCCAATGATTAATGAGGAGAGTTTGTTATTACGGAGGGCTGTCATTGAGGGGCAGGGGGTTGCCCTGTACGAGCTTGTCAAACTTTGATCATTTTGATGATGCGTGGTACTGAATCACCTAGTTCTTCACTGAGGTCTGGCCAGCTGATTTGGAGATCCGGAACGGCACTCCTTGGAACTATGAAAAGCAGCACTGTAGCGTTGGCAAAAAGGATTGGCGATAGCTGTTGTAATTTGAAACAATGAATTTCCAGGTTGTGGTGTGTGTTGGAAGGTGGGCTCTTTACTCGGCGGTGGTTTGGGTTGGTACCAACAATGGGGTCATTTTGTCGAACTCGCGGGTAGCTTCAAAGCAGATGATTGGGGGAAGTAGACAGGAACAAGGACAGCTTTGAATCAGGGCTTTGGGAAACATCAGGCCCTTTAGAAGGCATTCTGCATGAATGCTGCCTTGGCGAAAAGGTGCGGGCATGCGGCATGCGTCGTGTCTCGCATGCCAGGAGTACTTCCAGGTTTTCCTCACCAAGGCCTCCAGGGATTTGTCCTGGCACCCGAGCTACGAATCGCTGGAGGCCTTGAAGGAAGCCTATGAAGCAGACTCGGACGAGGAACGCTCGACGGATGAGTCCTAGCTTAGCATTGCTCGAGGCAATCGCTCGGAAAACACAAAAACACCGCCAAAGCGCCATTTGATTTCCGCTCCTTAGTCACTGGATCCGAGCCCACCCCAAGACACACAAGAACATGCCAGAGCACTTGGATAGACGCCTAGTTTACTCCCCCCTTGTCGAGCGGGCTAGGAGTTCAGCAGGAGCTGAAGCCAGGAGGAGTTTTGTTGTTAGCAAGATCTGCCAAAGGCAGATTTGTAGAATTTGGCACCTTACTTGCTGCTTGAAGCTGGGCGATACGAAGCGCAAGGAACTGTGGCGCTCGGATACGATCGCGAATTGGATGCCCGGGGGCAATTTATTTCCCGGCATGGGCTTATGCAGCCTGTTAAGGGAGCCTCATTCGGCAACCATGGCAAGGTATTGCGTCGAAAACTCCAGATTGCTGG